TCTGGTTTGGTGAGGGGCACTGAGAGTGAAGTTTGCCGTTTTTAAATGTAAGATGGGTTCAGATTCCCTGGGAATGGGCGTGTGCTGCCCTGTCAGGAGGATCTCTAAGGATGCAGGGGCAGCTCTGTGTGTGGAGGCCACCAGCTTGTGATACCCCTCTGCTCACCAGCAGCACGAAGACTGAAGATCAAGAAATTATCTTGAGAAAGGGATTTTGGGAACAATGCTGGCGTTTCCGGAGTTTGGGACTTTTCAGGAGAGCTTTGCAATTCCTGCAGTGAGTGCAGGGCTCTGGCTGTCTGCTCCATGTCCCCACAAACAGGCACTGCATTATTTATTCCTCAGCAGTTAGCAGCACATTGGGAATGTGCGGGCAGATGTGCTGCCCTGTCCAACCTGGAGGAAGTGTAACAGGCAACCAGTCCAGACTGGGATTTTCCAAGTGATTCCTAAGGTGTTTGTAGCCAGACTACCCCTTTCAGAACTTCCTGATTGTGAAATTATTTCCATTTTAAATGGAAAAAAAAAAACTTCAATCAAAAAGTGACTCTTCCCATCAAATGAATTTTGACATCTTGCATGAGGAAATAAGAATTTTTCTCCATCTGGATGTTCTCCCTGGGGTTTTTAGGGCAGGCCAGCATAACTTCTGTCTTCTTTCACCCCACCCAGATGCTGGGAACCTGCAGAGCTGCCTGGCAGCTTTCCTGCTTGCACTTGCTCTCCAGTCCTGCTGCAAGGTTTCAAAGCATCAAACTTTAAATGGCTTTAGCCAGTGAGTTTCAACACACTGCAAATACAGGCAGTGCAGTTACTACTTTTCTTTAGTCCTTTTTTTTGTTTCCTTTTTTTTTAAACAATCTAGAAAAAAACCCAAACTTTCATTGGTTTCCTGAAAATGTTGTGGGTGTTGGTTTTGGTTTTGTTTTGTTTTTTTGCTGGCAATTGGGTGACCTATGAAATACCATCAGCAGCACAAAACGTTTATCCAGTGACAGCCTGAGGTAGCACAGGCAGCTTTTAGCAGGTTTATTTTCATTATTACAGCAATTTTAGGGCTGCATGCTGCAATTTTCACTTGCAGTGAGGTATTAAATTGAAATTACCCCAGATGTAATTGTCACACAAAATAATTCTGGACATGCTGGATTTAATGCTTTTCCAAGCTGTGGTTTTTATTACCCAAGTAAGTGCCAAAAAAAGACACTTGTAGTCAACAACTTAAACTGAAATCTGCCTTCTGGGGACCCAGGATGTTTAGTTGCAGTTACATTGGGTGAGGAAGGGAGGGGAAAAAAAGGGACCAAGTGGAGGAAACTTTGGGAGGGCTCCTTAAAGAACCCAGGGGTAAAATCCTGGGCAAGGAGAGAGTCAGAGCCATAAAGCACTGTGATGGTGTTAACAGGGGTTTGCAGGTGAGGGAAGAGACAAGAATGTTGACTCTATGTTCAGAAGGCTTGATTTAATATTTTATGATATATATGACATTAAAACTATACTAAAAAGAATAGAAGGAAAAGTTTCATCTCAGAAGGCCAGCTAAGCTAAGAATAGAAAGGAATGAATAATAAAGGTTTGTGTTTCGGTCAGAGAGTCTAAGCTAAGTGGGCTGTGATTGACCATTAATTATAAACATCTGAGATGGGCCAATCACCGATCCACCTGTTGCATTCCACAGCAGCAGATAACCATTGTTTACATTTTGTTCCTGAGGCCTCTCAGCTTCTCAGGAACAAAAAATCTTTAAAGAAAGATTTTTAATGAAAAGATGTCTGTGACAAAGCACTCAGGAGGAGGAGCCCTGGGAGGAAGATCCAGCAGCTCTGCCTCACCCTTTGCAGGCAGCTTCTGATTTTGGAGAGGTTTTGGAGGGGCAAGTCCCAGTTTTGGAGAGGTTTTGGGGAGGCAAGTCCCAGCTGTGGTGTGGTGCTGGTCACATATGGAGACAGTCCCTGTAAGATCTATGTATTGGATAAGTGGGTCCTAGTTACTCCAAATGAGCTACAGCTGCAAAGTCCTTAGTTGGGCAGCAGCTGTAGCTTGTGAAGGTAACTGGAATAAAAGGGGTGGGCTGAGAGCCCAGGAGGAGCCCCTGAGAAGCCATGAAGAACTGTGCTGCAGAGAAGAACTGCCTAGTAGAAAACCAGCCAAGAAGGTATGGACTTTAGGAATATAATTGCAACAGTATGGGACTTGAGAAATATGAAATACAACAATATGAATAACAACGATTGGTGACCCCGACGTGATGGAGGCATGCAGCCTGAGAGCTGTGGAGTTAAGACAGCCTGAAGAGCTGTGGAAGATAGGTGTAGCAGCCTGAGAGCTGTAGGACTGTGGGAAAGGCAGCCTAGAGCTGCAGAAGAACATAGCTATTGAATCAAGGAGCTGTGGCAGCCAGGAGTTGCAAGAAATGGCCTTTGAGTCAAGAAGCTGTGTGTGTTGTACATGACCTTTGAGTCATGGCGGGATATGTATATTGTACTTGTATGATGTATGAGGCCCTTGAGTCTCAGGGAAAAACATGTATTGTAAGGAAATTATTATATTGTTCTTTGTATTTGAATATATCTGTTAAGTAATAGAAAAAGGGGGAAATATGGAGAGAATCCCTGTAAGATCTGTGTATTGGATAAGTGGGTCCTAGTTACTCCAAACAAGCTACAGCTGCGAAGTCCTTAGTTGGGCAGCAGCTGTAGCTTGTGAAGGTAACTGGAATAAAAGGGGTGGGCTGAGAGCCCAGGAGGAGCCCCTGACCCTGAGAAGCCATGAAGAACTGTGCTGCAGAGAAGAACTGCCTGGTAGAAAACCAGCCAGAAGGCATGAACTTTAAGAATATAATTGCAACAGTATGGGACTTGAGAAATATGAAATACAATATGAATAACAACAGTCACAGAGGCAAAGCGAGGCTGGAGCTCCACAGCAGCATCGTTCCTGTCCTCGGGATGTGACAAGCCTCACTAGACACGAGCCAGAGGTGACTTGCAGCTCTGGAGGTGCCCCTGTGTGACATTCCAGCTTCTCCCACACGCACGCTGCCTGGTTGGGCCGGTCTGGTGTGTCAACATCTGGAATTTTAGGAGCAGGTTGTTGCTCAGGAGGAGTCTGAGCCAGCCTGCAGCAGCCCCAGCACTCCCACCTGTGGGAGGCACAGACACTCCCAGCTCCTGTTTTCTTTACCAGCTCCTGGGCTGTTGTAACAGCATAAGTAAAGTATTGATGACTTTGTACTTTCCACTGCCGCTCGTTCTCTGCCAGAAATAGCTTCCCTTGTTGGCTCCACAGAGCCCTGCTGGAAGTGGGTGGAAGGACACGCATCTGGGAGCCGAGTATAAATAGCACAGGCAGAGCAGCTGCCTTCGTCTGTCCCTGCAGCTCCGCAGAGCAAACGGGAGCCGAGCCTGGGCATGGCAAAACCCAGCAGCAGCAGGAGCTTGGGATGGCTGGGACACTGGGTGGTGCCAGTGATGCTGCAGTGACCCAGAGGAGCAGCTCAGGGCACGACCCAGTGCTGTTTCATAATTCAGAAAGGCTCTGTTTCCAGCATCCCTGAGATGCAGCATTGATGGATGAGGGTGCTGTCGCACGGGGCAGCGCTGCTGAACTTTCTCCTGCATATGGAATAGCTGCGCGGCCTCGGCGTCCTTTGGGATGGACCCAGAATTAGAATTGGCTCCAAGGTGAATTCCTGGTGTGGATGACTGTGCTGAAGGAGCAGGGGAGTAATGAGAAACCTGCTTTTGGTCAAGTTCAAGCAGGATTTGGAAAGGGTTTTGAGTGAAACAATGAGAGAAAGCAGCAGCTAATTTAGTATGAGCTTGCAAATATTTTGTCCCACCCAAGATACCATTTTTTCTTTATCTTTGGAATTGTTTCTCCTGTTGTGCACTCTTGTTCACTTTGTAAATAATCAGAAATACAGTTTCAAAATTAAAATATGTAAAACCACCTCATTTAAAATAGAGCATTTTGGCATTTGAGAGGTGCAACATGCTGTTCTGAATAGCATAAATGAGCAATATCTGGCTGCTCTTACATGCTTTCTCCTCTCCATATCCAATTTAATTTTTCCATCTGTTTTTACTTCACCTTGCAGGTTCTGTGGTCCAGAATTTTTGGGGGAGTGAGCTCATGGTTTGTTGGAGGAGTGGTTGCTCAGAGCTCTTTCCTGCTGTGTTTGAGGATGGTGGTGGTAGCACCTGGGCAGTGACACAGGAGCGGACAAGTGGCATGAGGATGGCAAGGGACAGGATGGCTGTGGTGGAGAACTACTGTTGTGCCATCTTAAGGGACTGATAGGACCCTGGAAAGGGCAGCATGGATGTAAGGGGTATCTGGATTTTCTGAGCTGGGAATATATTGGTGTGGGTCTATAAAAGCCACAAATTTAATCAGCTAAAGGTCAAAGTAATTACAGAGTCTGTGACATTTCCTCCTGGGAAGGAGGCAGCAGGGACTGTGGCTGCAGCTGTGGGTTTTCACCTTCTGAAGGCTGGCTTGGAAAGTTTGAAATCCTAATCTTCCCTGTAGTCTGTTTATGTAATTAAGGCAGAATTAATAAGGAAACAATCAATTTAGAAACCGGGCTTGGTTTACCTTGCAGCTGGCTGGTGGGAAATGCTTCCTCAGGAGGCTGAGAGTGAGGTGGATGGGAGATGGAGCTGCAGGGATGCTCTTACCTGTCGTGGTGCCATGAGAGAAGCCCTGGTGGGCAGCTGGGAAGCACTGGTTAGAGGAAAGGGCCGTCAGCTGTGTGCCTCCCTTCTCATCCCTTCCCATTAATGACAGTTCTTTGCTGCTTTAATCCTCAATGGTTTACTTGGCAGTTCCTGGATTCCTCTATAAATTATTCACACAAAAAAAAGTCTTATTTATTTCTTTGTAATAACGGCTGGAGACCATTTACTGTTGGGCTGTGCTGCCTGTCTTGGTGAAGTGAGCTCTGGCTTTGAATTCCAGCTCCTGAATTCAGCCTTTTCTGCCTTCTCCCTCCCCAGGTGTACGACCTTGCACTACAGCCAGGACCTGCCGCCCACCAGCGTGGTCATCACCTTCCACAACGAGGCCAGGTCCACCCTGCTGAGGACAATCCGCAGGTAAGAGCTCCTGGGAGCCTCTGAAAAGAGGACCAGTGGTCATCACAAATGAAAAAGGCAGAATCTGTTTGCCCTCACCACAGCAACAGGAGCAGACCTGCCAGCTGTGGTCTCAAATGGAGGCTGGAAGAAATTAGCCTAAAAGTTGCTCTCTGAGAGGCAGGTTTTACAGTGGGATGCTGAGGAAAGGGAGGAGCTGTGCTTCCCTTTGCAGGGCCTAGCATGGGAAACTCTTGAGGGCTCATCAGCAGATTAGACAGAGTCTGGGCTAAGAGCTTTTCTATCCAGCTGGGTAGGAGTGCTCCGCTGTGTTTTGGCCCAGCTCTCTAGGGACAGCTATCATTCTGTGGATATCTGCTCCAGTGCTGCTCTCTGAGCTTCTCCAGTGCCAGAAAGGCTTGCTAATTGAGAAGCCCTAATGACACACATGCAGAGCAGATTCTCAGGGATGGTTTCTGTCCTCCTGCAGCCACACGGTGCAGCACTCTGGGCATGAGGCCATTCCTTCATTTGTCAGTTTGTTCTTGGCTGTGTTTTGCTGTCGTGGATAGACTGAAGGCTTCATTTTCACTGCAGGCTTTTTGAAATCTGTGTTTAATCCCAAGGTGTGCCTTGAATCTGCAGGTTCTCTAGTGGGAAGGTTGTGTCCAGCTCTGGGCTGGTGGGTTGCTCTGTAGCAAACCTGTGTGTGCTGTGCTCTGTGCCAGTGATGCACATCTCATGTACCCTTAGTGAAGGTCTGTGCCCTGCTGCAAGTCTTGGCTTTCAAATTTAAGCCCTGGCATCCCCAGGGACCCCTTGCCATTGCTGGTGCTGGTCAGACTGGGGTTGCTGGTTAGGGGGAGGCTTCAGCTGTGCCCTGTTCACTGTCATGTCATTGCTGAGCTTTTCTCTCAGCATCCTTCTTCAGGTGAGTGTATCCAGGGCCACAAGTGAGTTTGACAGTCCTGAAATTGAATTCCTGCTCTGCTTTATGGTTTCATGCCCAATCCTGTCTCCCTGCTTCACACTCAGTAATCTGTCACTGCTTTCTCTCTCTGGCTTGTGTGAATTTTGGGTGACACTGATGCTTGGTGCTGTGTTGGTGACACTGATGCTGGTGCTGTGCACCACCTCCTCAGTCCTGGACCTTCCCTTTCATCTTTACAGTGCCTTGCATAAGTTTGCCATTCTCCAGAACCAGCTGTATTTGTAACAAAGGTGGCAAGTGCAGTCCTCTAGCTTCTGAAATATAACATGTGAAGTGCAGGGATGGATTTTAACCTCATTTCTCCCCATAACTCAGCACCTGACTGTCCTGCCAGGAGTGATGGTGTCACATGAGAAATGTTAGACCCATGGTACACCTCTTAGATCTGGATCCCCCATATCTGGCTTCATTAGAGAACTGTTCATTGCAGTGATGGCAAGGTTAGAAGTGCAGGTACATTGAATTTTTACCTCTTCCTTGAGGTGATTGCCCTTTGAAGTTTCTTATTTCCAGCACAGCAAGACTTTCTTTCTTGTTCCTCTTTTTTCCAATTTGCTTGACTTGATTAATTGACTTTACTGCCTTCCTTACCTGGTCGTGTGTGATTTTCACCACAGCTTTGCCCCTTTACACTGCTCCTTGTTTCTTATGGGCCCTGGCAATTCCAGGGCTCATGTTTAATCTGTGGGGAGGTTTTCCCCAGCTCTGGGGACCCTTCTGAGCCCTCTTTCTTGTAGGTTCATCCCTCAACAGTTGCAGAGCCCCACAGAGCACCCCAGAGGCAAGGCCAGGCAGTGAGGAACTGAGATGACAACCCCATCTCCTTTACCTCTCCCTGGGCTGAGGTCCTGAGCTCTCCTGGGCTGTTTTCTGGTCCCCATGGTTTGGAGGTGGCCTTTTGGCATCAGGGCTCCCCATTTTCCCCCTGGATGCAGTGCCTAGAGGCTCTCTTTGATGCAGCCAAGCCTAGGGATACTAATCCTTGGTGGCAAGCTGGTGATGTGGCTCCTGCTCTGTTCTCTCTAGATGTGGTTGTGCAATATTGCCACCTCCCTGCCTCTTTTTGGACCCCAGCTGAGGGCTCATCTGCCTCTTTAGCCTCTGTGGGTTAATTTGCTGTGCCTTCTGACTGCTTCAGGCTTTTTCCCTCTTGCTCGCCAAATACTTGGTTTAATTAGATCTTCCAGATGACTCCATCCCACAGTGGCTGTAACAACATGGATCATTTTCCTTGGCCATTTAAAACAAACTCTGTCCTCCTGACAGTGCTTTGTGCCTTTTGGGGCAGTTTGTGGCCAACTGCTTTTAGCATCGTGGTGGGTAAATTTGGCACCTCTTCTCCCCAGTACATGTCTACAGTGGTATAACCCAGGTGACAGATGGACAGGCTGAGGAACAGAGAGGTGACTTTTCCATAGCTGGTGGAAGATTCTGAGTTGCAGACCTGGTTTCCTGAGTTCCAGTACGTTGGATTTTCCAGCCTCATTGAAGAATCAATGTTCTCATGTTAATTGAGATTCTCGGTGTTAATCAGTTAATTCTCACTGTCCAGGAGCACGAGATAGGACAAAGGGACATTTCTTGGCTTGCCCAAAGCCATGGGTGATGGGGCACTGTCCCTGCAAAAGGGGCACTCCCTATGTAAGCACAGAGGAGAGCCAGAGGGAAGTGCTGCTTGGGGGAATGCCTCTTGCAGAAGTGACCACGTACCTGCTGAGCAGGGGGATTTTGCTATTCCTGCTGTTTTCCAGGATTCTTGACAGCTTCAGTTGAGGCTGAGCTGTGCTGCAGGCTCAGGGTGCTTCAGGCTCTTGGTAGGAACCAGCAACATGTGGCTTCCCTGGCACCCCTTACTCAGGTCACGTTGGGAACACTTGGGACAGTTCATTTATGGACATTTTGCGTTGTCGGAGTTATTGAGGGAAGCTGGTGGATTGTGTTGAATAATGTATTCATTTTAAAGTTTCATGCTCTTTTCTCTGAGCATTTGCGAGCTGGAAGTGAAGCAAGGGGGGGCAAAAAAAAAAAGGAAAAATTAAATTTATTGAAGGCCCACATCTCTGGAAATGGTGAGGTCAGCATTTATAAATGCTTGTGAATATGTACAGCTGTCCAGGGAGTAGGGGATGGATGTCATGAGAAGGGGGAAATAGAAAATAGGAGAAGATGACTAAGAGGAGGAGATGGTCAATAGCAAAGTAGCTCTGGAGAATTTTTTTAAGGTTTTTTTTACTATGCAGAAAGTCTCATTGGGTTGTTTCAACCACTGACTTTTTAACAAGTTCCTTTTCCCTCTGAGGTTCAGTTTCACATATTTCAGTCCCTAAAAATGGTGAGAGTCTCCAACAGTGCATGAGATGGGACCATGTGAGTAAACACAAGGTGGGAAGGCAGGAGCAAGGGTGAAAGTAAGCAATACAGAGGCATTTAAAATAAAAAGTAAAACCACACCAAAACAACAATTTCTTCTTTCCTGTCTTTCCATCCTATACTAGCCTGGATTTAGCAAGGGAATCCTAATCCTGTCATGTGGATGACCTGCTGGGCAGATGGTGAGACGGTCCCGTTTACTCTGCTGAGTGGTTTTTATTTATTTATTCTTCAAACTTGCGGCTGGGGAGCTCAGGGCAGGAATAAGAAAACTTAAATTATTTACCTCTTGCTGACAAACCAAAACACATCCTTTGGCAGGAGTCCTGATGCAAGCATTGTGAATACCACATCAAATATTTAGATCATTAATTAGCAGAGTGAATATCATGCCTTTCATTTTCCAGTGCACATAGGTGAAAGAAGTGGTGTCCTGGGCAGCCAACACCTCTCACCCACCCCTCGTGCCACTGCCTTGTCTGCATCCAGACACATCTGAGGCAGGGAGGTGACAAAGCCTCCTTGCTTAGGCACCATATGGAGTCTGTGCCATAACTGAAATGAGCCTGATTAAAGAAGCAAAAACAAGCCAGGTGTTGCACAGAAACGGTATAATTAGCACTTTGTGCTGACTATTTTTTCATTTCTTCTTTTCTTTTCTGCTTTTTGCTTAAACCCTGGACTTTTTTTTCCTCTCTTAATTTGCTAATCATCTCTCGCGGTGACTGAGTACACAGCCCTCCGTGCGCTCTTACCTTTTGATGTTAACATAAGAGAACTCTTGAATTTCAAAGAGCTTGGTGGGTATTTGAAAGAATAAAATGCAAAAGCTGCAGTGTAATCAAAGCTCATTATGGTTATTCTTGGTGTGATGTCTTTCTTCCTACATAATTAGCCATTTGGGGTTGTTGAAGCAGTTCATTTTGGCGGGTATTTTCTCTCCATACTCAGTCTGATTTCGATAATTGTGACCCTTGGCCCCTTTCATACTTCATTATCCTCCTAAAGGTGTTTTTTTCCTCTCCCAACAAGTCCTAATATGTTGCCATGGAGAGAATTAACAGGTTCATGAGTTCTCAAGGATGGGTGTCCACAGTCACCTCCCTATAGCAAGTGGGTGATGGCCAAAACCACCCTGACTTGGTCAGAAGGTCGAAATTCCTGCCTGCAAACATTTTCCATGTCTTACATGGTCTGTGTGACTTTTGCACTGGTATTTATTTGGAGATGAAATTGCTGGATCCATTGCTTACCTTTGGGTAGGTGGAAAAGGATCCCAGCAAATTCTTGAGGAGGATGAAAATTTAAGGTGAAATTCTCCATGGCTATGTGTGCATAAGGTAAATAAATCAGAACAAAGAAAGTTTCAGCATTGTCAAAAGATAATTCAGCAGCAAACCTGTTCTTATTAGGGTGAGTAAACGCTTTCTGGACTGGAGGCATGAGCTTTCATTTTGATGGTAACAGGTCTTTTGGCAATTTAAGGGAGAAAATGTTGTGATCTTTGGCACAGCAAAACTTAAAAACTGTTTTGATTTGTTCAAATATATCCATCACTGCAGTATATATCTACCTATGTTTGATTTCAGGGAAAGAAAATCTATAATAACAGAGGGACTTCAAAGCACTGTAATATTGTCTTCTGATTTTTCCCATATAAAAGGGAAAAAAAAAGCCATTCCCAGACATAAAGAAAGAAAAGTATTAAAAAAAAAATCAAAGCTGAGCAGAGGCACAAGTAATAGAAAAGCCAGCTTTGAATTTTTAAAAGTGCTTTTATGGTCTAGCTGAAAAAAAAAAAAAAACAAACCAAAAACTGTAATGTTGAAAACATGGAGGATTTGATGTCTCTTTTTCCCATCCTCCCTGAGGAGTGCTGCAGGAGGGGTGCTTATATTGTGTGTTCACAGTATTATGTGGTTAATAGAGCACCAGGCAGAAAATGCACTGGAGACAGGAATTTGGCTTTGCTGGGCATCTCTCTGTGCCTGCATCAAGTGGCCCCTGGCTTAGCAGCAGTTTTGGGGCTGGCTGGGGTCAGTGCTCTGACTTGCAGGGGCAATAATGAGCTCAAAGTGTGCTGAAACAGCAGGGACCATAGAGCCTCTGGACTGCCCTCACCAGAGTGAGTTGTTCACTGGAATTTGGGAAAAGTGTTGTGTGGTGAGTGAGTCCCACAAGGGATTTGCTGTGAAAGGGCTGTGGTGGTACAGGTGAGGAGGTGTGTGCCACCCACAGTGATGGTGTCTGTCACTAACCCCATGGAAGGGTGACAGTTTGTGGGAGAGAACTTGGAGATGGCCTTTCCTCATGGGTCAGTGTGCTGGCCTGTTCCCCCTTGCTCTGGTCAGTGCCACAGATGGACCCTGTTGGCCCTCAGGGGTCATCTTCCCTGATTTATGGGGTGGGAGGCCTAGGCACAGAGTTGGCAAATCTGGGGACAGCGGGAACCTGCACTGAACTGGGACTGGGCTGCACCTCTCCCCAGCCCAGGGCCTTGGAAGTGGTCCATTGGAATGGGAAGGGTCATTGGAATGGAAGTGGTCCATTTTCTTCCATAGATGTTCTCTGGCAGGAGATCCTTCAAGGCACTGAGTACTGCTCAGAGCCCAGGCCTGAGCCTGCACAGCCCAATGCTTTGGTTGAGTTCTAATGGCTGGTACCAGCAAAAGCAGCAGAATCAGCCCCTTTGCAGCCACCTTCCCACAGAGTTTAGCCCTGCAGTGCATTTCTGGCAGCCAGATCTGGAAGAGAGACCAGGCAGAGGCAGGCCTTGAATGTTCCAAGTTTCCCGCTGCCTTCCGTTCTCGGTGGGTTATTTATTTATTTTCCTGGGTTTTTTTTTACAAGTCTGCTTCTTTCCTGCAGGTTGCACAGAGTTAGGTTTCCAGGCAATCAACACTTGTTAAATATTCCACTGAGCATGATATTGCTCTCCTGTCTCTCTCCACTGGTGCTCGGCTACGGTAATTTGCTGAACTCAGCTCTGGCGTACGGGGATTTCTAAAAAATAACAAGCCTATTAATAACAATAATTAAAAAACACTTGACAGGTGGAAACAGCACATCTAAATTGTTCTGTGTGCCCCAGTGGGAGGAGGGGCGCTGAGCCACTTTTTCCCAGTGCTCCTTTCATGCTGTGGGTGTTGGAGAGGTGTTGTTTAACACTGCTTGGCACAAGCCAAAGTGTTGGGGTGGTCACAGCAGCTCCAGGCTGTTGCTGAGGGGACAGTGGCTTTCTCTTCCTTCAAACCTTAGCATGCAAGGCATCTGAAGTGGGGGGAAAGAATGATTTTTTTGCCAAGATCCTGGGATTGTCTTTCCAGAGAAAGTAATTCTTGGAAGTGGTTTTTGAGGTGCTCCACAAGGGAGGTGCTAGGCTTACCTACTCTGGTCTGAGAGGAAAACTCCTTTTTTCAGAGGATTTCTCTCCAGGGAGAAAAAAAACCCAAACAAACCACCATGGAGTAAGTATTGATTATATATGGAAGAAATTCTTTCCTGTGAGTTGCTCAGAGAAGTTGTACATGCCCATTTACTTGAAGTGTTCAAGACCAGGTGGGATGGGGCACTGAGCACTCTAGTGGAAGTTGTCCCTTCCCTGTGGCACTGGGATTAGAACTGGATGGTCCCTTCCAACTCAAACCATTCTCTGATTCTATGATTCTATGTCGTGCATCTGCCTTGGGATGTCCTGTATGCCTTCCAAAAAGAAAAAACTGGTTCAACTGTTTCTTTCTGCGGGCAGAAGGCACCTGGCAAAGGGGAACCCCCTGGGTGGGGTGGGCTGCATTTTTGCCAGCTGGTTGGGTGGCTTCCAAGTTCCCTAGGGCTTCCCATAAGTAGCTCTCCTTGCTGTGGTCTGGGCTAGGGATGTGGTTTTTTTGGGTTTTTTTTGGGGGTTTTTTTTTTTTTTTTTTTTTTTTGCAAGAGTTTTGGAAGCTTGAGAGACTGAGAGAACGTGTTAATAAGGATCTGGCAGGGGATCTGGGGCTGCAAGATTGTTAGGTGGTTGGGTGACTGCCCTCCTGTGCCAGTGGGAGGTCTGAAGATTTGAAATTTGGGGGGACTTTAAATGCTTTGTGGAAGAGGAGCCATGCTCAGGATGAAGGCAAAGAAGTTTAAATGCTGTGAAAGCCTGTACCATCTGACTGGCATTATCAAAGCCCAACTCAAGCACTTTAGGAGGCTTGTGGGATGCTCTGGGGCTTCTGCTTCAAGCAGACAGCCTTGACCCTTTGCTGGGGCAGGATTTTAAGCATGTGTAATAGCAACTGCAACTCCATGTCCTGCGTGTCAGGGTGACTGCTGCACTGCTGTTTATTTGAGATGAAGTTGCTGGAGCCTGTGCAACCAATCCATGACCTCTGCACCATGAGAGAAAGGGAAAGAACAGGTGTAGATTTTTTAATAATAACAATAATAACCTTTGGTGGCTTAATTAAGGGAAGATTTTAGCTTTGAGCCACGTTTCAGTGTCTGTCTACACGGAGGGAGCTGTGAACCACATCCTCCTGCCTCTCTTTCATTACCTGGGTGGGCTCCAACCCTGCTCTTATCCTCTCAGCAGCCTCTGCAGCACAATCAGCCCGTGGATAAAAACAGGAGTTGTCCTGCCACAGCTGTGAGCTGTGTAAAGATGTGTTTGAGCTGGGTAATTTTCTCTGTGTTGGCCCTGCTGTGGCTGGACACCATATCATTAGCCCCAGAGGAGGTGGAGAGGTGATGGCAGCTTTGCTGTAAGTCCAGTTAGGAATCTTGGTGCAATTTGGGGGAAAAAAATAAAACCAGGTTTTCCTGGCTTTATGTGTGGCTCTGCTTTTGCTCACAAAGGTGAGAAGGGTGAATCTCAGCTATTTCCTAGGAATACAGAGCACTTAGCTCCTAGATCAGGCTACAGGGTGATAGCCAGGCACTGTAGATGACTGGGGGGTGGTTTCTGGGTTCTTATCCAGTATATCCTTTCTGGAAATCCAAGCCTGGTCTTCTGTGCTTTGGCAGGGGGTCGGTTCCTTGGCTTTTCCACTCCATTTGCTGGGTTGTTAAGTTGGTCAAGCACTGTCATGGATTTTCTCTCTTCATCCCTCAGCGTGCTGAACCGCACCCCGGTGCACCTCGTCCATGAAATCATACTCGTGGATGACTTCAGTGATGACCGTAAGTGACTCTTTCCCTGTTAAAAGCAAAGGGCCCAAAGGCCTGGGAGAGACTGGGATTATCCCTGAGACAGGGGAGAGAGTTAGTTTGCTGGAGTGGAAGGAAATTTAAAGCTCTGTAGCTGTGAAGAGCAAACCCCGCTGTGCTGGCTTTGCATCGCCATGTGTAGAATTCAAATTCCAGATGATCCAACCTCTTCCCATGAAAATAATGCAAGAAAAGCTCTTGGCAAATCGTTTTTATGCCCAGCAGACGTGAATCCAATCCTTACACGGCTGTATCCCACCACAGCTGCAGCCAGGAGCAGTTCTGGGTTGGCACCACTGGAATTCCACAGGACAATGGCAGTCTGACTCTCTTGACCCTATGTGTACATTCTGCATACATTTATGTAGGTTGTCAGCAATTCTTGATTTTTATTTTTTTTTCCACCTTCTTTTTCACTCCTGGAAAGAGGACTCCCTGCATGGGTTTTCCCATTTCTGAGGTGCACCATAAATAGCATTGTGCGCCACACAAACAGCCCACATCCTCCTGCTGTTCCCTCCCAGTTAATAGTGTGACTCAAGGGAAATCAATAGCTCTGGTCTCCACTAGAAGAGAGCTGAAGCCCCAGGGGCTCCCAGGGAACCACCCCTGCTAAAGACCTTGCCTAGTTCGATGGGAGAGTTGAAGATCTAAGTGCTCAAAAAACACTGTCTCAGGCATAAAAAGGATGATAAACTGCCTGAGTGGTCTGTGGCACTTATGTTTCAAGGAGCTGCAAAGTAAAGCTGTTTACTTGGAAACGTGAAAACAAAGCCAGATAGGTTTCTTTTAAGAAATGGATCTGGGCTTTGCTCTTGGATGTTATAAATAGGCACTGCCTCGGAGAGCATTAGGGACAGATTTCACACAAGACCCACTTCTTGGCGCTGGCACCTCCCTGGGAAGTTGCTGAAGCTAGGGGAAGGAGCTGCTGTGACTGTGGCGAGCCCTGGAGCAGCTCCAGCACAGGGGGCAGGCAGGCTGGGCAAGTCTGGGATCTGGCAGAATGGCTGTGAAGGGGAACAGGAGCAGGTGCAGGGACTGGAGCTGCCCTGCAGAACAGCAGAGCAGGATTTTTGGAGGGTGGAGGAAGTAAATGGCAGGTGTTTGGCTAAATTAGGCAAAGCACTTGCCTTCCTGGAGGGAGGCAGCTTTGTAGGAGCCCAGCTCCCCTTTCCCAAGGGAAAAGGAGCAGGGCTGGGTTATAACTCATCCCAGGGCACCAGAGGGGAGCCTGTCTCCTGTGTAACTTAGGGCAGCCCCTCAGCTACTCAGTACTTCTCAGCTATCTGACATCTTTGCTGTGATAGTCTGAGCCTGCTGGCATCTGCTCTGCATGCATTTACATAAAATACATGCATTTGCATAATGCACTGCACACACATGGTCAGTTTTTTCCCTGCAACCCACCCCAAGCAATTAGTGCTTTTATCTCGTGTCCAGTTGTGTCTCATTTCTCACCTCCCTCTGCCTGCTGACCTGTTGTTCACTGCGATGCAGTTCTCCAGCACGTGAGTTCTCACTATCCCCAGCAGATTTTCACTGTGGGTCCATAGCCAAGCCCTGCCACTTCTGCTGCCCCGTTCGAGCTCTGTCCTGGGTGTGGGTACAGTGATCTCTTGCTGACAGAGATTTCTGGAGGGGGTGAAGGTGGTCAGGGTGGGTGTGTGGGTTCAGGGGTTGGGGCAGAGGGAATGGGGCACTCACCTCTGTGTTTGTGGTGCTGAGGAAGAAGAGGCAGAGGAGTGAGAGGTCAGGTGTACCCATCACAGCCCCTTCCACCTCTACACACCCACACTATGACTTCCACAACCCATGAATGATGGTTACACCTGACATCCTCCACTTTGCAGAAATCTGTGTGAGGACAGATCCTGGGGCTGCATGTAAGCTTGCAGAACCTCCCTAGCTCAGGTGTAGGTGGCTGTCAGGCCTTTCTGCCCCACAGAGCTCTTGCCCACGGCGTGAGGAGCCCCCAGCTGCCCCACAAGGCTCTCTTTGAGCATCCCTTTCTCCTTGCTGAAGGCTCCAGGCCAGCACAGGAAGCTCCTGCCCCGCCAGGCAGACGCGCATCAACAGCTTGCGCGTTGCTTTGCAGCTACCAAAAATAGTCATTTGCATTAATGTGCAGAAATTTAGATTCTGACCCGAACCACAACTTTTCTGTGCTGATTTTAGAGCATAATTCAGCTGCTCTCAGTGTAAATCTGCTGAATTTACACTAGTTCTGTGAAAACTGCTGCTCTGCCAGGCCCAATTTATGCTCCACGGGCGGAGGGGCGAGGCTGTCGTGACCCAGCAGCTCCATTGCCCTAACAAACCATCAACCAGAACAGGGCAGGGTCCTCTCCCCTGCTGCCAGTGTCTCCTGGGAGTGCCCATTTCTGCTGCCAGAGGCACTGTGGGGGTGACTTGTCCTCCCTTTGTGTGTCCCCAGCTGATGACTGCCGCTTGCTGGGCCAGCTGCCCAAGGTGAAGTGCCTGCGGAACGGCCGGCGGGAAGGTAAGAGCTGCCTGCCCTCAGCCCACGTGGGAAACACAGATTTTGGGAGGTGGGAAGCACAGATTTTGGGAGCTGGGACACTCATGGGGCCATGGGGATCCCCCTCCATGCAGTGGTCAGCAAGGAGCTCAGTGGCTCCTGGGGATAAGGGGGACCCTGATTAAGGAAAATGTGATAAAGAGCTGGGATTTGAAATGGATCTCCCCTCTCTCGCTGAAAAAGATGGGGCTATTAAGATTTCCAGTGAGGCTCAGCTGTAGCTTATTAGCCAGAAAATTAGAACAGGCAAAACAAAGCCCCGGGTCTTATTTGTAAAGATGTTAGCTCTAATGAAAAAGAGAAGATCTGCTCCTGCTGCTTCTGTGGGATTTTTTTGGTAATAATTAATTATATTTGAGAGATTAAGAAGGGCTATATGGAGGATTGAATGCATGTCCTACTGAACTGCTGCTGGCAACCTTTGGAGACATCTCCCCATTCCCCATAGCCTGAATGTGTTTCAAATCCTGGTTTGCAGTATTAGGATAACTAAAGACAAAGAAGTTTTTTGGTGCTGCAAATCCAGGGTGTGCATCCAGCTCAGTGTTGGGTTGAGGAGACTGAGGAGTGGAAAAGGTTCTTTCCTCTCAGGATTCTTTCTGCAGAGGGTTTCAGCTCTGCAGGCCTGGTGACAGGGTGGCATCAGGTCCCATGGGTGTAAGAGACATCCTTGCTTTGGCAGGAAATTAAGGGAGATCTCCACAAACCTGCACCTCCTCCTCACCTTTCTCCCCTGCCTTATGGGGGTACTACATGTGTGCTCATCTCCAGCTCCTGAGGGACCTGCACTTATTGGTGCTCTATAAATCAGCCACAGTATGGGAGCTCAACCTTACCTTGCTGAGTTCATCACTTAAACTGTGTCCCTCAGGGGCTGCCAGGGTTTGGGAAGGGCAGGGGTGGGTGAAAAGAACATACCTACACACAAGATCTTAGGAGCCACAGAGAGAGATACAGGGAGATACAAGTCTGCATTGCAGGAGGAGACCTTGGCAAATTCTGGATGCTCCAGGCTTTGTTCACCAGCTCAGAGGCTGTTGCTTAAGCCCTTTCCCCTAGGGAATTTTAGTACGAAAGACAGTGATTCCTGCATTAACCTGATGTGTGGCTGTTCCCTGAAATCCTGTCTCTTTTTATCTGCTGATATGTCCCCTTGTATTGACACTATTTCTCCTTCATAAAGACATTCTGCTCCCCTTGAGTCACCTGTTTCTCCTCTTGTTTGATGCGTGCAGCAATCCATTCCCATCTCCAAATTATTCCAAATTCACCATCATGACCGTGACAAGTCAGACACCTCAAAAAGCCAACCCTCTTTCCTTGGTGGAAAATGTGTTCCCATTGAGCAGTGCCCTCAGGGTGGGAGAGAGATCTGGGGATCACTGGGAAACAGAAGGGGTTGCAGCAGGAAAAATTAGTACTCTGGGAAAAGCTTAATTCTGAGGTGTTCCCACCCTCAACTCCTCTGTCCCATTCCCCACTGCCTCACATCTGCGTTGGATTTGTTGCCTGCAGAGAGACATGAAAGCATTTTGACTCATGCTTTGCCCCAGAAGGTGACAGCAGAATTAATTGTGCAAACTGCATATTGGCATAAATGCCATAAATCAGCAACCTTGGTGGAGCCATTTATTTCTTTGGGGATCGTAGGAAATGCTTGGCATACCTTGCAGCACCAGAAAGGAGACAGTGAAGCTGGGCCATGCTTTATCTGGGTGGGATTTGGGCAGGTTAAAACCCAGGAGAAGCACAGGTGGAGGAGGCTGGGGATGTTACCCAGGTGTGTGGGGAGCAGCTGGCACGGCGTGTCCCCGAACAGGTCTGATCCGATCCCGAATCCGAGGGGCAGACGTGGCCAAAGCAGGTGTCCTGACCTTCCTGGACAGTCACTGCGAGGTGAATAAGGACTGGCTGCTCCCCCTGCTGCAGAGGATCAAGGAGGTGAGTGCTCCTGAGACACCTGAGTCACCCTCAGGGGATGCATCCCCTTGTCCCCCTCCTCTTCCTCCTCCCAGTGGGCATGACCATCCCACCATAACCAGCTGCATGCAAGCATCCAAGTAAGGGGTACAGAGAGGCCTTTTGGGGTACAAAGTGGCCTTTTTGGGGTACCAAGTGGCCTTTTCTGGTCTTCCTCCACCCAGCAGGCAGGTGGGGTGTGTGTGTGACTGGAGGAGCACGTAGGTGGGTGGGAGAAGGTGTCTCTGGGGCAGTGGGACTCTAACGGGCAGGCACAGGTTGAGTGGTGGTAGGGGAATACGTGGGCAGTGTGCCAGCAGAGATTTTAATTAGGCTCATGTAAAATGCTCAGTGATGATGATTTAAGGGAGTGACGGCTCCTTGAATAGGGGCCGAATTTAATTTCATGCAAATTAAGCGCTAATAAATTGATTTAATAGGATTTAAATTCTGCTGATTTCGGAGCAGACAATGACATTCCCCTTTCTCTGGCGGTGTCTCTCCTGCCAGACGTGCACACAGAGGCTGCTGGCGCCTTGTCACTCGAGTCAGGGGAGCTCTGTGCCCTGACCTGCTGGCAGCAGAGTGCAGGGATTGATCCACCATCAGCCAGGGTGTGGATGCACCATCCTCATCCTTTCCCTTCACCCTTGCTGCACCTCTGGCTCCTGATGGCCACTGTTAATTACTCAGCAATTTTATAGCTCCTGAGTTGCATTGATATAAGGGCAGCTGAGGTGGTGGGTCATGGAAAAACCTGCCTGGCTGGTGTTCACAGTGCCCCTCACCTAAGGCATCCTGCTTTTCACACCTGCAGATGTGGCAGCTGTGATGGCTGGGCTGTGCATCCCCTCTGTGTGTCAGCAATGGGACCAGGGCAGGTCCCTCCACACGGGTGAGGGCAGTCAGTGCTGCTGGCACTCATTGCACAGCCAGCACTGGAGAGGTCCCAGCCTCTGTTTGCAGGCTGGGCCACAGAGCTGCAGATAGATGGAAATGTGATGGCAATGGGCTGCTCATATCATTGATCATGGCTCTGGTAGAGTTATGAGAACACATGCTGTGACATCCCACTGGAGCCGCATGGCTCGCCTGTCCAGGCTGGGATTTACTACTGAGCTTTACAGCATCACTTGTTCCTCTGGGCTTTTTAAAGGCAGGCATTCCCTGCTTTGTGCCAAAGCCCTGCTTGTACTTCAGTAAGGAGTATCCAGAGCTTTTGATGTGTTTTGTCAGGAGAAGGGCAGTGAAGGCAGCAGGAAGGGGGTTGGCTTTCCCACACAGCTCCAGGACAGTGCCCCATGTCCAGCATCCACAGGATGGGTGAATGTGAGTGCCATGTGCAGCATCACCAGAGCAGTTCCAGTGCCTTGTGGTCTGAATGCAGCATCAAACACACACATCACCTCTGTAAACTCCTCTGGATTGAATCTTTCCCCAGCTGGAAGTAAGGTTGTCTGTGAGCTTGCCGTGCTGCTCATGCTGCCCTTACCTTGCCCAGCATCTTGCAGCCTCAGGCAGCAGGGGAGATGTACTACAAAGAGTGCTGAGGAACCTGCAAAGCCAGAGGGGTCCTGCATGCCTGCTTTTTAACTGCTCACAGAAGCTGCAGGATAAGGGCAGAGTTCCCAATCTCCTTCCAGGCCCACCGTACCCATCCCTGCCAGCAGGGTTAAGGTATTGATCAGTGAAGTGTATGAAATGTTACTGCTGCCACCTTCAGGCTGTGCTCTAGAGATGGGCTCCCTGGCCAACTGCTCCATGAGGATCAGCTGCCAGGAGGAGCATTTTCTCACTCTGTTGCTCCCAGGAGCAGCCTGTTCTGAGCTGATGTGCTTTAAGTTCCAAGCAAACGAGCGGTGAGTGCCTCAAGGCGCACCCATCACTTTTGCCACCAGAGCCCAGCCACTCTGCTCTTGGCTTCTCTTATTTTCTCGGCCAGAGCAGCCATTCCTGCCCCTTTCCATGGTGGGAAGTGCCAGAGCCCATGTGTGCCACCAGGAACCCATATCAGGCTCTGCCTCGAGCTTTCCCAGCAGCTGATGATGGTTTTCCCCTCCTCTGGTGGGCATGGGCAGCACACAGCCAGCACATGGATTTGGAAATAAGCAGGAAGAGCAAGTGATGGAGTGTGGAGAAAAGAGAGAGGGCCTGGGGGATCCCAGCCCTGTGCCTATCTCGGGAAGCATCGGTGATGGTCGGTGTCTCACACCCATGTGGGCCTGGGCTCTTATTTTTGCTTATGGAACAAATATCTCTAAAGTTATTAATGGTCCATTTCAACCGAGTAACTTTTCTAAAAATGTAATTATCCATCCTGAGGTATTTTTACAGTATAACTCAACAAGCTCATCCCAAAACTGGGTTTGCAAATGGGATGAACCAGTGAATGGTGAATCCCCCCACTCCCAGCTCAAATACCCCCAGTCTGGTGCTTTCCTGGGAAAAAGGAGATCCATGAAGGGCAGCCTGCTTAATCTTTGCCTAAGCCTGCTGTGGGGCCAGACCAGCAACTGTGGCCCTTTTTGTTGTCCATTACAAGGTCAGGATGTAGAGGCTGAGAGCCACTTTGCTGTTCTCCAAGGCTGAAATATCTCTCTTATCTTCAGGAGCATTTTCAGAGTTTTTTCCTGTTGGTTTAGATCCATACATCAGTGTGTTTGAGAACAGCATTGCAGAAATTAATGCTCAGGTTTGTGAGAGAAAATTGAAGGTTTGGCTGTTGTTAATATTAACATGCCCTGGTATGGGTGGGTAGCAAAAAAAAAAACCCAGAAAGATGAAGCTGCCTATAATAAGATCTGGTGCTCAGCCCAAAATAAATCATAGCAACAGCACTGTGCTCTTGAGCATGCCGTGCTTTTCTTGTGAGGGTCAGAGAGACCTTCTTGAAAGCTGAGCAAATATATATATATGTTCCCAGGACATGGCAGGGAGAGGACAGCTCTGCTCAAGGTTAGCACCTTGCAGTAGTGCTCTCAGCCCAGATGTGGAGGGGATTTTCTGACAAGAAGTTGTGGCATGCAGTGAGCAGAGTGGAATTGAAACCAGGGGTGGGTGTCAGCCAGCTAGAAGTGCTCCCCAGTAAGATGCTTGAGGGGCAGGTTTGAAATGAGTGGATGCCATCCTTCCCCTGCATTGCTCAGCACACAGAGCAGATGCTTTGCTTAAGTCCTTCCCCCTGGCCTCAGGCAATTAAAGGATGTTGGCTGTGCTGAGCTGTGGCAGGCTGGGGGGCACTGTGCAGCAGCCAGGATAGGTTTGGAGGGTTTGAAAGGCTCACCCTGCCTGGATGTGGCTTGTGTTTCCCTGTGCAGCACAGAGGTGCAGCAGACTTTGCCCTTTTCAGTGAGATGTTTGACTCACAGAAAGTGATGGTGAGACCCCTGGCTTGACCCTGTTATGGAAATACCAAGTATTTGTCATGCTCAATTGGAAAATCAGCTCTAGTCCAGCTCCCAGCTCATGGCCTTTGGTTGCTTCTTCCCACTGCATTTGAATGCTTCTTTGTCAGGACTAATTTCTAAAACAAAGTCTTTCCCCAGTGAGAGAGCAAGCCCGAGTGTGCTCAGATGCTTTGCTTTGTATAGCTGTGAAAAACAATTTGATCTGGTGAGGGTAAAACCTTGAAGTTTGAGCTATAATTGGAGTTTGGGATTTTTGAAAAGAAAAAGGGAGATAAGAGACCAGTCAAAGCTGTCAGAGTCTCTTCCTCCTGTAGATATTTTTGTTCATAACTGTTTGTATAATCTCTTTGCCCATAACAAGATGTTAATTAAATCACCACCAACTATTTTGAATAAATCAGGTCTTTCTTTTTTAACCCTTTCACAACTTCTGCAAAACTAACTGTGCTGCTGTTGTTGGTGCATTTAAAAACATTCCCATATTTAAGCTTTTTGGCTGTGTTTTTCCTCTGTCATTTCAATTGCCTGTTTGTCACTTGACTTCTGAAATCCTGTTAAAAGTATTTAAGGGAGGTGAAAGGGGAATATTTTGGTGGATTTGTAAAAGGCAGAAGGAGCTTTGCATCCAGCCCAGCTGGCTGCCAAGTACAGGCACAGTCTGAGGAGGAGGAGGAGGCAGTGAGGGACCCTTGTCCCAGGCAAAACTGAATGACACCAATGTTTGCAGGCCCTTGGTGTCTCCAGGAGTTTGGAGCCCCTTGCCCGGGTTGGATGGTGTCACCTGAAGTCAGGGGTGTTTCTGCTTCTGCTTTGCAGGATCCCACCCGGGTGGTCAGTCCCGTTATTGACATCATCAACCTGGACACTTTTGCCTACGTGGCAGCTTCCTCAGACCTCAGGGGAGGTGAGTCCAAGCTTTGTGCATGTCCTGTGGGCATCCATTCCATGCTGGGAGTGTGCACTGGCCTTTGCACCACACCTCTGTCTCCTGCTGCCTCACAGAAAAGCACATGGACGCTGCTCAGTGCTGCTGCTGCACAGACAGAGGGTGTGCTGTGAGCAGTGTGCTTGCTGCAGTGGCTGAGGTGGTCAAGCAGCAAAGAAGGGTCACGTCAAAGCCACCCTGGGCAGCCCTGGAAGCGACAGGAGGAGATGGGAGATGTCTAGGCAGCAACTGGAGGATGCAGGTGTAGTGCTGATTAGTATGCCTGTGCTATTTGGAGCACACAGCGTCCATCAGAGCGTGCACAGGGGGACTAGGTTTCAACAGCAGCTTTAATTCTGACTTTTCCTGCCTTTGGAGCACTTGACTTTGAAATTGTAATGCAATGTGCTGTTTCTTGTCCATTTGTAGTGGTGAAATATGTTAGGCGTTGGACATTCCTCTCAAGAGCTGCATCTCTGTGGCTGAAGTCATTTGAAAGTGGGGAAAACGTTCCATCAAACACAGCTTCTGCAGCCTGCATTGCCTCCTAACCCATATCAATTTCTAATTTCCCCCTGGCACTTCTCTGCTCTGGTTTTAGGTTTTGACTGGAGTCTGCATTTCAAATGGGAGCAGCTGTCCCCGGAGCAGAAGGCCAAACGACTTGATCCCACCGAGCCCATCAAGTAAGTCAGGAGGGGGAAGGAAGCACCCCAGGGGCAGGACAGGCTTCTCATGTGACCTCACATGCTCCACAGCAGTGTGGAATCTCTTCCAGGACAGCTCTGAACTTCTGGCACCTCTAGCAAGCTCCTGGGTTTTGCAGTGCAGCTTCACCCTCCAACACTGAAGCCTGAGAATGCCACACAGAGGGAAGGGGTGTGTTTATGGTTACTGGGGTTTTGGTAGTGCTAGGGATTATGGTTAGGGGAAAAAGCCCAGTGCTGTGGACAGCTACTTCTCTCAGTTCAGCTACCACTTAAAAATAAGGCAGTGTCCTCATGATAAAATTGGTGTCTAGTCAGATCAGCACTGCTCTTCTGTACCTCACTGAGGATTCCTCATGGGAATGGGGAATGTGCAGGGGAGGGAGCAAAGCTGAACAGGAGCATCTGTCCTCATGACATGGGATGGAGATTTCTGCTGGAAATCTCTGCTGGCAGCAAGCCTGGTGCTGGTGTCTGCAGCCCCAGCCAGATGTGAGGCTTGGAGGACCCCAGGTGTTGGGGGAAGCTCAGGGCCTCAGAAGGCTCCCAGGGGAGCTTCTCCTTAGGATCCTGCTGTTAACAGGAGCTCTCACTGGCTTCCCAAAGGCTGACCTTGCATTCCTGATCACTGTAGGGCACTGTGGAGATTAGCCTGGGCACAGCAATCACCCCAGTTCCTCCCAAGCATCCACACTGTCTCCAACTGAATGGAGAAGGGACTTGTGCCAGCCAGCAGCAAGTCTCCTCAAGCTCTCTTCTGGGCCTGCCCTCCCGTCCTCCACGGGCCTTCTCTGTGCAGTTTCCTTAGCTAATCCAAAGGAAAAAAAAAAAATAACCCTGGTTTGAAATAAAGATCACACAGCTAGTGATGGCTTTTAAAAAGCCCTTCTGAATTGGCTCTGCCTTCCTCTCCCCGGTGGAATGGTGCTCTTAATAGGCTGGCTCCAGGCAAAAAGCCCTTCTGAGTGAATAACCCCCGAGTGCTAAGTGCATTTTTGATGCTGAAGCCTACAATCAGGGCTGTCAACTTTGGGCTTGTAGGAGTTGTGCTGACGGGTGCATTAGCCAGTCATTAAGTGCCAGGCAATTGATGATTGGCAGCAGAACACCAAGGTGGCAGAAAGAAAGGTTCCAGATGCATTTTGGGGTGTTTTGTCCTTTTCTTGGTGAGAAGGTGATGTCCTGGGTCATGGAAGGGGAGGCAAAGGGAAGGGCTGCTTCTGTGCGTCCAGGTGCTGCAGCAGCACTTGAGAGTGTGTCCTCTTGTCCTTGTGCCTTCTTCAGGACTCCCATCATTGCTGGGGGGCTGTTTGTGATGGACAAGGCCTGGTTCAACCACCTGGGCAAGTATGACAGTGCCATGGACATCTGGGGTGGAGAGAACTTCGGTGAGTTGTTCTTCATCCTCCTGTGCCTTGCTGTGTTGGCTTTCCTTTCTGAGTCATGCCAGATGGACACCAGGTCATTTCAGGCTTCCCTTTGAATGTTCTGGGTGGTTTCCCTCATTTACATTCATAGGTTGTGGTCTTAGGAGAGTGAGAGATCCAGCAACCACGAATGATGGGAAGCGAGCAGTTGTTGGCACTTGGGATTGCCTGCCTTCCATGCTGCTTTATTTCCTGTAGGTAAATACCCTCAACCCCACAGTTCGCAGCTTTGGTGTTACCAACAGATGAGAGAACACTACATGCACCCTTCTATTCCTTCCTGATCTTATTTTTGCTTTAGTAAAGCAAAGAATTTGTCTTAATCCATTAATGACAGCATTTCCAAGCTATGAACTGAGGTATCAGTCCCTCCTTGAGTTGGCAGAGTACCTGAAGCTGCAGCTCCATCAGCATGCAGCAAGCAGGTGGCAGAGCACCAGGGCTGCTTATCCATTCCTGTATCCCTGGTGGCTGAGGGCTGCCCAGCTCTCTCTGACACTGTCACTTTTCCTGCGCAAAAAAAAAAAGAGTTGAGCTCACTTAAATTCTGTCACCTCTGGCCCTTACCGTGAGACAAGAGGGACATAAAGAAATCTCCTGCAAGCACACTTGAGAGGGCACATGAAAGAGGTAACAGCCTGTCCCTTGTCCAGCAGAGCTGGATGGGGCTGTGCTGTTCTCCCTTTGAAGCTGCAGTGATGCTGTGGATCAGAACAGCAGACTGTGCCCAGGAAAGAAGGGGGAGGCACTCAGTGTCAGGCAGACAGATCAGAACCTGGCTTTAATAGCTTTGCACCTCTGGGGAGTGGGGCTGGCCAGGAAGGAAGGCTCTTGTGTCTCAGCACACACAGCCCTGCTGTCACTCATCCAAGGGAGCAGATGCTGCTGCCTCGCAGTAATCCATCCACTGCCTGGCACTGGTGTTTCCTTCACATGCCTTGCCCCTCTGGATATATTTTATTTATTTCTGTCTTGTTATGCAGTAAGAATCTCTTTCTCTTTCATGCTTTCTCTCTGTATTGCCTTTGAAGTGACCCAAAGTATCTGAGTGGAGTGGCTGTGAGGAGACCTGGGAGGGGAGTGGCAGCCCTCCCACCTTCCCTGCTGGATCAATAGCCCAAACAAAGCATTCAGGAAGGGAACTGGACAGGAGAAGAGCAGGAGAGGAGCTGCCATGCTGTGCCTGACCTGCTGTCTGTCTGTCTGTGCCCACCATTTGTGTCTGACAGCAGCCAGCAGGAGCTGCTCCTGGGAGATGAGCAGTGACAGGACAGCCTGCTCCTGGGAGAAGCTCCATCCTGGCTCCATCCTTGTCCCGTGCCCTGTAACAGCAGGCATTGTGCTCCTTGTGCCTGGTTGTGACCCATCCTGCAGAGGAGGGGTTTCCCTTGCTGGTGCTGTGCCCCAGCAGGCTGCTCCTGACCAAACATGCACTGGCAGTGCTGCAGGGCTGTGGGAATCTACAAAATTAGAGAGTTTTGGGAAAACTGCAAAAGGCAGGCCTCATAGAGAGTAGAACTGTGATTAGAGCTAAGCAGCATCCATGAGATAGGTCAGCAGAAAAATTATTTAAACTGTAGAAAAGCAAGGACAAACAGAACAATGGTCTGTGTATTAACGCTTGTCTAGAATAACTCTCTAAGCTACAGAAAAGTTTATCTAGCAAGATATTAGGAAGTTTGAAGGTTAATAATTGAGCTCTGTGCATGGTGTTTTAAGGCTCACAAGCAGGTATTGTATTTGAAATACACAAGCATTGTTTTAACCAAAGGTACCTGTGCTTTTGGTGATTGGGTAGAACTACTGTCAATGTGCTTTTGCTTTGTGTGATTGGTCAAAAAACTTATAAAGTAAGTTGTAACATTAAGTTTTTTGTCTGCTGCCTGGGATGTGAGCTGGTGGCATCTTCTCATTGTCATAACTATGTAATGAGACTGATGCTGGAAAATAAAACAGCTCAAGGCACGTTCCCAGCCGTCCCATCCCGTTTGTGATTTGTACATAGACCCTGGCCAGCGATACAGGGGTACCATGGCCTCCTGTGGGAAAGCAAAATCAAGGTTAACATTGCCACAACAAAGTGCAGATCTGCTTAGCAGCAGGGCAGATCCCATCTTGCCCATTTTCCCGGGAGCAGAAGCCCAGGAAATGGGCAAGGAGCCCAAGAATGCCTGGCTCACAGCTCCACCTCCTGCAGGTGCAGCAGTTGGGGGCAGAATGTCCCATCAGGCAGAACAAAAGTCAGCGTGTTTGCCTTTGAAGGAGGACACAGTAGGTGTTTGGATCTTAAATTTACTGAATTCCCTGTAGATGAGTAGTGGCAAGAAGGACTTGCAGGCCAGCAAGAAGTGCTAGAGGTATTTTGCTGAATGAAGGCCAAGTCCAGCTCACCCCAACATGTACTGCTCACACCCCCTCCTGGGGTACTGGCAACATCTCTTGAGGGTCAAGGGAAGCACACAGCTGGTTTCTGCTCCCCTGGCTCCTCTGAGCTGACCGTGTACCATACTTCAGTTGGTGCTTCAGTCTGCCTTCCCTTGGGGCACTTAGCTCTTGGCTGCCTGTCTGGAGATCTTGTTTGTTACCGGCCATGGATGGCTCCAGGGGTGGAAATCTGGCTCCTGTGGAAATCTGTGCTTTTGTTGTTTCTTCTGTACCTGGAGCAGGCTCTGCAGGGTGCAGAGAGCTCAGACTCCTCAGCATCTCCTTTGTGCTGTGTCCTCATTCCAGTTCACAATGCACAGAGATGACCTCTTCACTAGGCTTTGAAAAAACCAGGCAAGGAGTGAATGCTGTGAGTCTTTCAGCACACCAGGGAGCTGCTCAGCTGGTTGTCCCCTTGTATTGGGTGCCCTTATGACTGACATAGCAGTGCCAGCAGAGTGGCCAGTGCTGTGACACACAGACAAGTGACAGCAGCAGGCCAGTGCTGTGACATACAGACAAGTGACAGCAGCGAGGAGAACCGAGAGCAGCAGCAGCTCAGAGTGGCCACATCCTGCCATAATCTCATTTCCCTGCAGCTGTGATGAAGCCAGCTCCCAATATAGCACCAGGACATGGCACAAGGGCACGTTTTATTGGCCTCTTAGTACCCAGCACTGGGGAAAGTGGTGAGGCTCCAGCTGCTGTTGGCAGCTCTTGCATGTAAACACGGCGGTGGAGGGAAGGGGAGGGAGTTTCTGGGAAGGAATACTGCTCCCTGCTGTGCTTTCCCACCCCTGCCATTGCTTGTCCCTGCTGCCAGGGCCAGCTGTTGGGGATGGGATCAAAGCCTTGAATTTTGGATCCAGGCATTGAGGCAAGAAGGTTCTGCAGCTGTGTCAGCCTTCCCTTCCCATCAGAAGCAGGCGGGTGTGCTGGGAGCGGGATGGGAGCAGCATGGACCTGGCTCCCACCTCCGCAGCAGCTCAGGACTGAGCCCTGTGTGCTCAGGGGGATTTTGGGGTCCTTGCTCCAATTGGCCTTTGCTCCCTGATGCTGTCAGCTGTTCTTGGAGGGATGGAAGCTTTGTAAGCCCTTGGAGGAGGAGGAGTCCTGTTGGCACTGCCCCATTCCTGCCACAGGTGCTTGTCTTGCCAGCATCCGACCTGGGGACATGTCATCCTTGTGCTGGCATACGTGAGGGGACTGCTGGGAGCACAAGTTGGCAAAGACAATGGGTGTTCTCCTGTCTTAATTCTGTAGTCAAATGGGGGAGGATGTGTGTGAAAAGGAATTACTAGTTTTGCAGTAGATACATGCTACATATAGCTCTGCACTGTCAACAGATGATAAAATAGGATTCAGAGAACTGCAGGAGCCTTTTCATTTTAATTTCATTTCTTTTCCACGCTGGTACTGTCTGACAGTAGAGCTACAGATTCATGGCTTCATAAGCATCAGGAGCAGATGGACCCATTAGATCAGCCATGCTGCTTACCCTTCCTACCTCATCCAGCTCCCTGCCAAGGGCTTTATAACTTCTGCTGTCAGTTGTGCCACATTTTCCTTGACAAGGGCCCTGTGGGCAACCACAGAGTGGCTTGGAGTGACTGGGAGACATTTCCCACACTGATAACTTATTCAGATTTTTGGGATAATGCCTCTCACTGCTGACCTTTGCTTGTGTGAAGGTGTGTGCCTTGATTGCAGCATTGCACTCCAGGCCCAGAGTACCTGGGCAGGGTGAGCTCCTGTCCATTTTGGGACAGGCAGTGCATGCACAGCTCTCTGTCCACTTTGCAAAGACAATGCTGGATTCATGAAGATAATGACACTTGTAGTCATTAATGGAGAGAATTCACAGCTTCTCCTGGTGAACTTGAGAGCCCTTTGGAGGGAAGCGACTCTGAAAGAGGCAGTGCAGGAGTAATGAGGGAGGCACAAAAGCGTGAGAAGATTCTGCAGTGTATGAAAAGGGACCTGCTTATGGTCCCACATTGTGAGAGCATTGTGACTGCACCTGCTGTGCTGGAGGCAGGTTTCAAGTGCACTGACTTCAAACACCTTGCAAAGAAGCTTTGAAATGTGCTTTTAAGGCCCTTGCACCTAGGAAAGCCAGTCTGGTAATTGATTTAGCCCAGTTTAATATTGCAGAGGATGAAGTAAGAGCTAACACCGGGATTCAGAGTGCTCTAGGACAGAAAGACAAAGTGCTGAAGCTGCTTCTCTTACAGAAATCTCTTTCCGTGTGTGGATGTGTGGGGGGAGCCTGGAAATCATCCCCTGCAGCCGTGTTGGGCACGTCTTCAGGAAGAAACATCCCTACGTCTTTCCAGAGGGAAATGCCAATACATACATCAAGTAAGTGGTTTGTACTTGCTTTGTTTTTTTTTTTTTCTGTGAATTACCCTTGTAGAGAGAGAGGGGAGCAGAAAAAACAGGCAGGAAAGTTTGTTAGGAAAACTTTGAAATATCCTTGGGCAGGAATTTCTTGAGCTGAAGAAAATGTAAGTCAATACAACTGTCCCATAGGATTTCTCCAGTGTTGAGAATATGACAGAAATAGGACATTTATGTGGTAGCTTTCATCAGCACAGAAATGGAGGGATGGCCCCAGCACATCCCTGAGAGCTGGCTGCTGGGACAGCAAATGCTGGTTTAGACCTTGAGGTCACCAGAACACATTTGCAATGACCTGAAATGAGGCTGCCAGCAACGCCTGTCAGTAGCCAGTGACCTCAGCTGAGGGCTCAGTGTGGCTCAGCTGAACCAGAAAATTTGTTTCCCAGTGCCTCTCTGGGATGGGAGCCACACATCCTGCTGGGCAGGGTGGTTCTGTCTCCAGGCTGGTGCTCTCTGCTGAGCAGAGGCAGCAGAGGGCTGCACCTGGCTGGCATGGACCAAAGGGACTGCCAGGGCACACCAGCTGAGGGGCAGGCACCTCTCCTCACACACAGCAACACAGGCTGAATCAGGCACTGAAAGGGCTGCCTGGAATGGGCTGAGATCCTGGAAACTCAGGGAAAGGAGGAAATCCAGGAGTGGGAATAGACATAGGAAAGATGATCAGAGCAGCTAGTGAGGTCAGGAAGGATTTCCTCCATTTTTAGAGTGTGAGGCTGAACATTGTTGCTTAAGTGAATGACAGAGAAAAGCACTGGGGGCACTTACAGTAAATGCAGGGTTGATTCTGGGCTAACCTGCAGCTGTGAGTGCTTACACAGCAGGCTTTCCTTTTAGTGTGGGCTTCACACTGTCAGAAAGCAGCATTTGTGAAGACCCAGCTGTCTGCCACAGGGCTGCTGCTGACCCAGGCTCTCTGCAGCTTCCTCAGCCTTTGCTTCAGACAGGGGGGAGTGCAAATGACACATCTTGTGGTGGTGGTGTTCACAGTGGTCCCAGGACGAGGGAAGAGATGAGAATCTTGACTACATGTTTCAGAAGGCTGATTTATTATTTTATTATATATATGATATTAAAGAAAATTATATATTAGAACTACACTAAAAGATAGAAGAAAGGATTTCATCAGAAGGCTAGAAAAGAAAGGAAAGGAATGACAATAAAATCTTTTGACTGACCAGAGAGTCTGAGACAGCTGGACTGTGATTGGCCATTAATTAGAAACAATCACATGAGACCAATCACAGATGCACCTGTTGCATTCCACAGCAGCAGATAACCATTGTTTACATTTCATTTCTGAGGCCTCTCAGCTTCTCAGGAGAAGTAATCCTAGCAAAAGGATTTTTCATAAAATATGTCCATGACAGCATCTCACTAACACCTGTGATTTCCAGTCACACAGTGGGTGAGGCAGGAAGGGGATGGCTGTGACAGGCACAGGCGTAATCAAGGAGCAGAGCACAGATTCAGAATCACTAGGAGGGTTCTTGCTTTTGGTAGTGAAGCAAGACTACTTCAGAGGGGCTGGGATGTGGCAAAACCTCCCCTGCAAAGCCGAGTGAGAAGGTGGCACCTGCATTGCATCACCTGCAGGAGGAGCAAGGGGAGCTTGGATGGGTACAGGTTTGTGACTCCCTGCCAGGCACAGGCCCCTGGGGACCTGGGGGATGGCTGTGTCATGCCTGGGTGTGAGCCTTGGCCCTTACTCCCGCGTTTCTTGTAAACTCAAATGAGATCAGGAAGCCAAACAAAGCAGCCCTGCGTGCTGGGCAAGGTTAGGTACAGATGTAGACACTGATTTAGTCATCTCTTGAGCAGGAGCACTTAGACTATTGCCTTAGAGAGAGAGAGGAGGGAGCCCATGAATCAGCAAGGAGCTGAGAATCAGTCTGGAGAAATGTACCTGTAGGCATCAGGAGCTGGGATGTTATTAACCTTAGGGAATCTATCAGCCTTAATGTTACAGGGTATAGACTGAGAGGAGAAGCAGCTCCTGGCAACCTGAGGCTCTGTAGCACTTCTGTTTAAATAGAGGTGTTAGCAAAAAGTATCTCCACCTTTCTGCCAGATACTGATTGCTTTTCCACAGAGCCCCTACTTCGGTGTGAGAGACAGCTCAGGCTCCAGTGCAGTGCTGGCTTCATGTGCACAATAATCCTTTCCTGGGCACCTGGGACTTGGCTGGGTCCAGAGCCTGCCCACAGCAGCTCAGTGGTGTGGCAGCAATAGCTTGGAGGCACTGGCCTGTATTGGAGCAGGAGGCTGGAGAGCTCCCCTGGGCAGGGCAGGGACAGGCAGATAGGCATGGGGCAGGAAATCCATTTGCAAGAGGAGTTAGAGCCATCTGAAGCCAACAGAAGATTTGCTGAGGTTCAGAAACCTTCTGTAGAAACCTGGCTGGTGTGGGAGAGTGGTGTTCATGCTGCAGCACTGGGGTGGGGCCACTTTCTCTGTAAGTTTTGAATGCTGAGGTTTGCCTCAGTGAAATCCAGGAGTGCAAAGCAGGAGAGTCCATTCAGGATTGAAACAAAGGAAATACTTGCAAATCTTTGGCAAACTTTTCAGAGCCGCATCCCATCCACTAAATAAAACCCCAGGCACTCCTGCCTTGGAGATGATACTTGAGACAACCTTCAGTTCTGGGTCTGGTGGATGCAAAGCATCCAGCTGAGTTTGAAATGGTGAATTCTTCATCCAAGCTTTATTTGGCCTGATATGTTTGGAGTAATGGGAAGGAAAGAGCACCTTCTGTAGTAGTGAGGGATGGGCTGGCTCAGAGGGGGTTTGGGTGAAGCTGAGGCTGGGAGGAGGGCAGATGGGTCACTTGGTGCACTGCGGAAGATGTCCCCCTGGTTTCACATGTCCCCTTGCCTTCCCCAGGAACACCAAGCGCACGGCCGAGGTGTGGATGGACGAGTTCAAGCAGTACTACTATGCTGCCCGGCCTGCAGCTCAGGGGAGGCCTTTTGGGAAGTAAGGATCCTTCCCCTGCTGCCTGAGCCCTGCCTGAGCCCTGCCTGCTGCAGTGGGTGCCCACAGAGATGTCCCTGCTGTGGAAAACCAGCTGTGTTGCTTTATAGCTGTGCTGAGAGGGCCCTGAGGAAGGAGGAATGATGAGGAGGACTCCATCGATATCAGGAGGCTAATTAATTACTTTATTAGACTATATTATTCCATACTATATTGCATTACATCTAAACTGAATCTGCCAAGCACTCAACCCTGCACACGCTGCACAGAACTCGTGACTGTCACCCAACAGTCCTGAGACACACACACACACACACCTGGCCCTGATAGGCCAAGGAACCAAAACACCATCACTGTGGGTAAACAATCTCCATATTGCATTCTCCTTTTGCACAAACACAGGCACAGCAAATGATAAGAATTGTTTTTCCTTTCTCTGATGTTCAGAGAATGTGAAACCCAGAAATGTTCTTGGGAAGAATTGTGCCTTGCTTTTCTCTGTGAGGAGAAATGTGGCTACATCACTTCTGTAGTGACAATAAATCACTGATGATAGGCATGTGCTGCAGCAGTGAAGTTGATAAAGTGCCAGGTTAAATGCTGTGCTGGTTTATTCCAGTGAGTGAACCAAACCCAGGTGGGGGAAAACCCTCTCTGCCTCTGTCCTGTCCTTTGCATTACATAGAACTATTTCTGATCCTGGACTGGAGTTTGGTAGGAGAGTCCAGAGGTGTTGGTGGCAGCTGACAGGCAGGAAAATCAAGTTTTTGGCCTGCTGATGCTTTATTGGAAGGTAACAAGTGTTTGTGTGCAGGGAGTTTGCCATTCATTCTGTGAGGAGTGAGATGCCTGCCTTTCAGGAGGACTGTAAATATTTGTGTTGCATTTCTCGTTTTCACATTTTCTTTGCCTTAGAAAGTTTCCTTCAGACTCCCGGGGGTTCTGAGTCCAGACTTGAATTCCTTGTGGCCACTCTTCAATCTCCAGGATAAATAATTTGAAGTCCTGGGGACTCCCTTGTTTCCTCTGAATTAATATCCTCCTCCCATCCATCAGCACAGAATGAAGCAGCAGCTCTGTCCTCTGCCTAGGGTATAGAGAAGTTGACCTATGTGAAAAGGAGGTGTACTGGTGACTTCTGGCTATTCCATAAAAGCCAGCTCATAACAGCTCCACAGGTGGAGGCTGGCCCAGGGAAGAGCTGAAGTGTTGAAAATATCACTGTACAGCATGGTCCCTCAGCAGAAATTTTGTCCTGATTAATAAAAGAAAAAAGGTTTCACTGTGTGATGAACTTCTGCTGGCTTACCAGCATGTTTAGGTGCTCTTGCAAATCAAGGCCTCCTGTAGTCCTGCAAACCAAGAGTGACTTAGAATAGCAAACAGCATATTTTAATTTCCTAATATGTTAATATGTTCAGGTAAGAGTTATTGAATAGTGGCATACATTTTTTACTAATAATTTTTAAATGACTGTGCTCTTCCCTGAACCTTCTCAGCTCCAGACTCCCTTGTTAAAATGACAGTATGTCATCATGCCATTTTACCAAGTGAGACCTCCAAAGAGATAGAGATCAGAACAACTGCTCAAGCTCACACAGAGAGAAACTGCTGCTGATGCTCCTGCGTTTGCTGCCTGTGCATTTCTGATGGGTTTCTCTCATCCTCCCTTTGTGGTGTGTTGGGTCTCACCTTCATTACTTCCACTGTATCTCTGTGATATTTTCTTCCCACAGCATCCAGAGCAGAGTGGAGCTGAGGAAGAAGCTGAAATGCCACAGCTTCAAGTGGTACCTGGAGAACGTTTATCCTGAACTTCGGTACGGATGTGCCACCTCCACCTGCATCCAGCAGGCCAGTGGGATGCTCCACCCCTCCCTCCTGCCCCCAGAGACATGGGCACCCCTCCCCTGGGCTTCACAGAAGGGCAGAGGGAGTTTTGTGCTGCACAGCTTGCTCACAGGGTGACACTCTGTGATATCTGCTTCCTCCAAGCTCTTTGCAGCAGGGTTGGTGAGGGACAAAGCATCAGTTATTCCCATTTGTTCCTAGGAATTCATTAGGTGTCCTACTGATGCTGTAGAACAGGTTGTGTAGGGAAATAAGAGAGTTTTCCTTACAAAAGTATCCCAAGGCAGAAAATCCACCATAGCTTCTGCTGGGGTGTTTCAGTACTTAATGACTCCTCCTTAAAGAAGCACCTAATTTTCAGTCCTTTCACACTGCTCTGTGGCACTCAAGGCTTCTCTGTTGGGAAACCATTCACCCTAGGGTTTTATTACTTGTATTTAGATTGCTCTGCCTTGCTCCTAGCCCAGTGCTTTTTGATGTATATTGTTGCTTTTGCACAGACATCTTTTAGCTACCAATTTACTCCAGAAACCATTGCGTTCATTCCCCTGGTCCCTATCAGGAGCCATCCTCAGAAAGGATTGTAAAGTTCTAGAGACACCTTCAGGGACCTGCTGGTGCAATAGCTGAGTGCAGAATCACTGTGTGAAAATGATGATTTATAACCATTTCCTTACTACTTCTTTTTTTTTTTTTTTTTTTTTTTTTTTTTTGCCATGTGTGGCATTGCACAGCAGCACTCACAGGCAATGCCAGGGCTCTGTGACAGTTTGTTATAAAGTTCCCCTCTCCTGTAAGCTGAAAGCTGCTCACAGCCTGACTCTGGCTGCTCTGTTTGCCTGGTGCAGTTATTTATTTTTTCCTCTTACAAAGGTCAGCCATCCATCTCCGAGCGCTGCTCCTGCAGCGTCCCTGTCCACGTGCTGCTCTCACTGCTTCACTATTGTGGTAGACCTTGCCACCCCTCATTTTCTGGAGGTGAAATGGGGCAGCCTTACCCCACAGAGCCTCCCTGTGCCTGGGGCAGCTGAGCATGGGGCAGCTGTGCCTGGGGCAGTTGTGCATGGGGCAGTACAATGTGGTTTTCACGCTGTTCCCGCAGGATCCCCGAGGAATCGCTCTATCAGACCGGGATCATCAGGCAAAGGCAGAGCTGCCTGGAGTCACACAAGTCTGAAGAGCAGGAGTTCCCCATCCTGAGCTTGAATCCTTGTAACAGCAGCAAGGGCATGGTGCCAAAGGCACAGGTAAGGTCTGTTGTGTATCCTCATGGCGCTGGATGGGGAGATGCCGTGGGGGCAGCTTCAAGATGATTTCTTAAGGTTGCTAGAGCTCTGTTGGAGGATTTACCCATTCTGCCAGTGTATTTCCCTAGGCAGCCTCTCATTAAACCCTGGCAGCTCCACCTGACCTTGGTGGAGGCCCTGGGCAGCAGCAGGGACTGGTGCAGGAGCCACAGGACAGTGTGTCCCACTCATCTCCATGGGAGCCCATGCTGAGCTCTTCCCGCTGCCCAGAAACACCACGTGCTGCTCATCTGCACAGATCAAAGGCAAAGAGAATTATAACTTCCTCTCATCTCTCAGCCTTTTTTCTTTTAGAATGGACTGAGTTGCAGTGGCATTTGTAACTTCATAGTCTGCATTCTCTCAGTATTGGATTGCCCATTAAACTAGCGAGGATTTAATGAGGATGATCTCAGTTTTTTTCAGTCTCACTGAGATGAGAAAAAGCTGTATGAATTGATGTTCTCAAAAGCACTCCCTGGGAGATTTTAGAGCCAAGAGCAGGCACATGTGCCTTGCAAGAGGGTTTCTGGAGCAAGACCCTGAAGATAGACACAGCTTCAAAATTCACCTTTGCAACTTTGGACATGTCAGTAAGTTTTGTGCTCCCATCTATAAAAGAGGGAGGATAACAATCCCTTGCTTCTCCATGGTTGCCATGAAATAATTCAGTAGGAAATGGTGTGGTGTGCATGCTTCCTCTCAACTGTACATCCTTAACCCTCGTGGTTACATATTCAAACAAGGTAGCTGTGCATATGAAAAGCCCAGCTTGGGGAGACTGCTTAAAATACCCCTGATTTGTGTGTGCAAACAAAGCATGTCATTATGTGCATCTCTTTCAAATGCAGTTGCATGCCTGTCTGTAGGCAGGAAATTAATATCTGTTTCACAGCATGGCAAAATCAACAATGACTACTTGAATATTAGTTCAGTTCAGAAGATGTAGTTAATATAATTGCAAGTGCCACACAGTAACACTTCTTACAGTTTCACTGGTTTCCATGTTTCAGAATTGGGTTTTTTTTTCTTCCACTGCTGCATGGACTTTTCACACAAACAGCAAGCTAGTGAGAGCAGGTCATCATGTTTTTCAGGGCTAACTCTGCAGAAGAAAGGAAAAGTATTCTAACAACAATAGCAGCTTCCAATGAATCTGCTGTTCTAAAAAAAAAAAAAATCTGGGAAAATCAGAATGAAAAATGCTGCAGCAAGTTAGTGTTTCAAAATGAAATGGTATGGGTCTTTCTGAAATACCAGTTTGATGTGGTATTTTAAAATGAGAAATGTCATGCCAACAAGTTGGATTGTTTCATTCCTACCAAACACATTTTGTTTTGACATTTCTGTGCAGTAAATTTTCGGAATTTTTCACGCCACGAACTTTTCATCTTCCTGTTCTGATTCTGCAGCAGTTTGCAATAGGTCAACACTTCCCACTGGATGGCAACTCTATTTCTTGTGCACATCCAGGACTGACTTTGCAAAGGAACAGAAAAATGCACTACAAACAGATTGCAGGATGACTGCACTCAGTACACAGCAGGAACAGAGAAAAGCCTTTTCCTTTTTATCTTTCTCTGTCTTTCTAGGAGAGTTCTTTGTTACTTCTACCCGTGGAGAATAGTTCAGATTAAAGCAGGATATTTAAACAGCAGGATATTCAAACTTTTTTTGTGAAACTTATATTTTAATGACTCAGTTGCCACAAGAGCACCTGAACTTGTGGATGACGTGGGTGTTACAGTCACCAGGCTGTGTAGGATTGATTATGCGGCAGTCCTGAATGCTACTTGGTTTTGCATTTGATATACCAGAATAGAGCAATAATCTTCACTTTTAACGCACTGAAGTCACGTCTTGTTTACCCTAAGCTTCATTTTGTGAAAAATAGGCTTAGCTAAATCAAAGCTGTGCTTCCTTAGCACTCAGTAAGTACCGTGAAAATATCCTGGCTGTCCAAGTTCTTTATTATCACTATTACAAGTAGCAATAATTTGGTTGCTTTGCTTGCCTTTCTGTAGCTGTCTCCCTGCTGGGCTGCCCCAGACCTTTACCAACATTATATGCATGAAGTCTTGAGACTGGGTGTCAGAAGATCATGGTTTGAGGAGAGAGGCACAGGACTGTCAGATGGCAATCAACTGCTCTTTATTTTAGGATTTTCTAGCTGTAGTATAGGGGAAGGGTGTTGTGAGACCTCTGGTTACGTCCATAATTGGTGTAAGTTGAGATGAGTGGTGAAATCAGACTTACACCCTTAGCAGGTCTCAAAATACTTCCCTGGTGGTGTCTGGAGTTGGTCCTGAATTACTGAAAGGGGCACTGGGGCACAAGGAGACCCCTCATCTTTGTGTAGGAGAGAGCTCTGTCTTCCCATCCTGGGCATCCACGTGGCCCTTTCCTCCCTGTGCAGAAGGCCTGGCAGCAGTCAGGGTGGGCTCTGTCCCCTGGGATGGCTCTCAGAGGGGTCTTGAGGTGGTTGAGGAGCTCAGGGTGGCTGTCAGGGGCTCCTGAGTTAGTGACAGGCAGAGATGTTTGTGCAGGGCCCAGGGCACAGCAGGCTCTGCCTGTGCTCCTGCCCACTGGAGCACTCCATGCCTTGTTGCGTCTCGTTTGCTAAATGAACAGATTGATTTAGTTTTTCACGAGGGAAATGCATCTGAGGGAAAATAATTGATCATAATTTTGTCCTCATCTATCTAATGAAGATGTGAATAGTTGGGGTTTTTTTTTTTTTAAACCAAGTGTCAGCTGGTATTAGTTCATAGAGTTTGGAAAAGACATCTGACTGGGATTTATTTAAGTCATTAGCAGCTTCAGGAAACCTGACACACTTCAGATAAAAAATCTGAAGATGCTTTGACCTGGATACAACACACGTGTAAGCAGTTGCTGCAAGAGGAATGTAAAGCTCAGGCATCTTTTAGACAAGCAAGGAAACAGGGGAAAGGCTGCAGCATCCATTTCCTGGGCCTGCACCCCAAAATACCTGGGCTTTGCAGCTGAGTGGCTGCCACTGCATTTGAGTGGCATGACCTCGGCTCTTCTTGGGAAGGAAAGTCAGAATGATGGAAGGAAAAGCAGTGTGATGACCAGCCTGGTGTGGCTTTGATGCTCATCCCAGTTGGCTTGAGGTCCTCTGTGTGCTGAGTAAATTTGGCCTTTTTCTGGAGAGCACTTAGCATCTGTCCAGACTGTGACCCTCCTGAGACGTCTCAGCCATAAACATTCTGTTCTGACCCTCCTCCCCTCAAAAGCCTTTGTTCTTCTCCTCCATGGGCATGACCTGCCCCAGCCGTAGGCTGGCTGGAGCTGTGGGAGCCAGGCTGGGTGAGCAGAGCAGGGGACAGCAGTGCCATCTCTGCACCTAGCTTGTCCTGAGTCACAATATGACACAAAGTGAACGACACTCGCACGTTGAGATGTCCAAGGCAAAAAAAGGCACATTTATTTCTGGACCTCGGTATTTATAGAATTCTAAAAGTGACTGTGGATTGGAGGATGAAATTGCCACCTCTCTAACTACACTGGTCAAACCAACAATCCATCAGTTCTCTCCTCTTCCAGAAAGGAATGCAAAACAATTATTATTTACATGAAAAGTGCATGAGAAACTCCATTACAAAACTGTAAACATCAGAAGAACTTTAGAAGAACAGGGAGACAGTTCTGTGCACCTGGTGTACTTTGCTTTCCCTCTCCTGAAATGTGTGGAAGTGCCAGTTGTATGCCAGGGTCTTTGATGAGGGCAGCACCTCGGTATCCTCTGGTGTCTCCTGCCTTGGCAAGTCCTTCCCTGGGATTGTTGAGGATAATTGAATAATTAGAATGCTCCACCTTTTTCAGAAAAGCTTTTCTCTTGCTCCTACCCCTGCTTTAGGGCACGGCTGACCTCTCTCTGAGCAGCACAGGCCTCGCTGTCACGGAATGCTGGGCTCCTGTGGGATTGCTCTTTCTGGGCTGAGGGGCTCCTTGCTCCATCTGCCAGCCGGGCTATGCCAAGCCAAAGGTCACTCTGGAAAATAATCTCCTCAGTTCACAGTAAGGCTGAGTAGCAGTGACAGGTGCCGGCTCAGATGATGCTGAAGCCTTGAGAAACAGTCACAAGCCCCAGATGAGGGGTTGGTGTTATCTGAGGCTCTGGAGGAAGGGGGTTGCTGGTTGTGCTGTGCAGCTGGTGATGCTCTCTTCACCGAGTCCACCCTCTTCCTCCTGGCTCCACCACCCCCCCATCTTTGCCTTTGGAAAGGCAGGAAATCTTGTTTAAGCTCATAGATCTGTTTTTCTTTGGCCCTAGGTCAGCTCTAAACCCTGATGGCATCTGCTCAGGCAATTCTGCAGCCCTGGAGCCAGGCTGGCTCCTTGCAGGGCTCCTTAGGAGTGCCATGGGCTGCCCCATCCACCACAACCTCTGCTGTGCTGGCCACGTCAGTGTGCCAGGGATTAGGAGATAAAGTAGTTCCTCATGGGAAAAAAAAAAAAAAGAAAAAAAAATTCATCCCAACTCATAAAAATAAGGGAAGAGAAGGGGTAAGATAAAAATTTGTGTGGCCATGGGCATGTATTTTAACTCAAAGTCCTTCATGGATTCTGTGATGCTCAACTGATTTCCCTCCTCCTTCCCCTTCAAATTTCTTCATTTTCTGCATAATTTTCCTTGGCTTTCATCTAGGGCTGAAAGGGAAGAAGACATGATTAGAGCTGGATAAAACATTTTCAACAGGGCTGGCTTCCATAAAAAGCCATTCTGCCGAGATAGATGAGCTGTGTGAAAATCTGTCAGCTGAGATAAAGACAGAGGAAGGACAGCCTGGGGGCAGGAGGGTAGGATCCAGTGTCAGCTGTGGAACTGCTGCTGGATGTGGAACATCCAGCTCTGGAGCCCTCACTTGTTAGGATGAACAACAGCTCAGGGAAAATGGTTATCACCACCCTTCCTGTCCCATGGCCCAGTGCTGGGTGAGAGGATGGCTCTGCCTTGAGAAAATGTGAATATTCTGAGGGTTTGAACATAGCCTGGTCTGGAAAAAAAATAATGGAGAACCTCTGGTAGGAGCAGTCTTCTTCTGTGAGATAACCTCAGTGAAGCAAGAAGGTAGAGATGTAAAACAAAAAAGTCCCATGGCCTTGGTTAGTTGGAGAATTCAACATACACACAAGTTACAGCATTAACTGGCTGCTGCTGAAGGAGCCTCATGGGTGCAGCTCCAGCCCTGTCCTGAGCTAAAATGACCAGCAATTGGTTAAAAACGTAAAGCAGGTTTTCAGAGCAGCTTGTAGCAGCGTGGGTGCCAGGAACAGATGTTGGAGCTTGCCCCGTAGGGTTTGGTTCTTCACAGATGCTGGACTAATTTGGCACCAGATTTCCCAGGCTGGTGGTTTACACAGCAGCTGACAGCCTGCGTGGTGGGGATGTCTGGGACGTGTTCACTGTGGGATCAGGTAAACCCTGCTCCATGTGACAGGGAAAAGTGGTTGCCAGGAGGGTGTGGATTACAGCTTTGGAAATGAATGCTTGTTATGTACCCAGATCCTGGGCAGCTCTTGCTGAGGAGCCTGTGGGCAGGCTGTTCAGAAAGCCAGGCTTGATTTCCATGAGCTGCTGGGGAATAGTGGGCTGAGAAGCACAGAGTATGAGGATCACAGTGTGAAGTCCTTGTGGAGCTGGGTCTGCTGTGCAAAAGCATGTTTTCCCTTCCAGGTGGCTAAGAACCTGAATGGAAGTGGGATTTATATTCCCAGGAGTTAAATGCCTGTAGCTGTCTGTTTTGAAGCTGAGGAGAGGAGTTAGAGCTGCTGACTGTGACAAATACCAAAGGACCAGGAGCGTGTCCCTGCTCTAATAACTCATGCTAATGCAACCCAGAACCTCCACCATTCATAGTCAGGGGCACTGCAGGCATCCCAGCTCTGAGAGCAGGGCAGCCATTCTTCACATTCCCCTCCAGCTCTCAGAAAGGCTTGAAGTCTCCCAGGAGCCCCATTTTTCCAGCCCCAGCCTAACAGCCATATGTTTGAGCACTGCCTTCCCCTCCACTGCCCACACTGCTGCTCACATCACTTCTCATGGAGCTCTGACTCCTCCATAGCTGAGCTCCCAACTGTTCTGCTTCCCCTTTGCACCTTTACCTTCCCAGCAGGTTCAGAGTTTTCAAGCCTGCTAAAACATCTGCCACGGCTCGTGGGGTCTCTTGTGGGAAGCCTTGTGCTCCCTGGCCTTGCTGTCTCTGGCAGGGTTATTGCAGTCTGACACTGAAGCCACCCTGCTGCTGGTCCTCCAGCCCTGCTCACCTGCCCTGCCACAGCTCAGAAACTGCTTTCCATTTGCTGATCCTGCTTTACACCCTGGATGGGAGCCCTCACAAAACCCTTCCAGCCCTGCTCTTTCTAATTTCCAAGTTGATGCTCACAGAAAGTTACAAGCAAAACAGCTGGTCCAGAAGTCCCTCTCCAGGGTTATGTAAAAAGCAGGGCTTGTGGTTTCCCATCAGCCAAACCAGTTCTTGTTTGCTTGTGCACACACACAAATGTCACAGACATCTTTTTATGAAAATCCTTTCCTTAGGATTTTTTCCTCCTGAGAAGCTGAGAGGCCTCAGGGGCAAAATGTAAACAATGATTATCTGCTGCTGTGGAATGCAACAGGTGCATCTGTGATTGGCCCATGTTGGTTGTTTCTAATTAATGGCCAATCACAGCCCAGCTGGCTCAGGCTCTCTGTCTGAGCCACAAACCTTTGTTATCATTCCTTTCTATTCTTAGCTTAGCTGGCCCTCTGAGATGAAACTTTTTCTTCTGTTCTTTTAGTATAGTTTTAATGTAGTATATATCATAAAATAATAAATCAAGCCTTCTGAAACATGGAGTCAAATCCTCTTCTCTTCCCTCATCTGAAAACCCCTGTGAACACGGTCACACACATAAATAACAGGGAATAACAGACATCCCCCTTGGCTGGGATCCTCTCAGGAGGTGCTTTTGGGTAATTCAAGCACAGGTGAGTGATAGAAAATGTTCAGCTGGAGTGAACTTCTGTGAAGCACTCCTGGGCTAAGCAGGGTGTCTGTCCATCCATGGTGCTTTGTCCAGTATATTTGCAAATCAGTCTATCAGCTGCTCCTCTTCTTCTCCCAAAAACATCCACTGGTGAAAAAGATGGTAATCCCAGAGATCTCCTGTTGTTTGGTAAGCATCACACAGGACAAAGAGTCTCTGCTCCTCCAGAGTTTATTTCTGGGGCTGACAAGGTGATAAAACACTGGTGAGCATGAAAAAGCAGCAAAAGAAAAAAACCTCCAGGACAGCCCAATGGAATGAGAGCAGCAATGGTTACAGCCAACCACTTCAGCAAACCTTTGAAATTTGGTCCCAGTGCCTTGATAGAAAGCAGAGCTTTTCCTCTTTTGTGATATTTTTGTGATATTTGGGAACAGAACCCCAGGAGTTGCAGGCATTTGCTGTGTATCACCTCCTGTCTCCCACTGACAGCTGCAAAGCATCTCTGCTGCTCTTCCCTGAAAAAACAGGATTGCACATTGTGTGGCTGGGAGTGTTCCTGCCTCTCTTCTGGTTTTTTTCCCCCATCCTTTTGTTCTCCAACCACAGCCCAGTTCTGGCAATGGAATCTTTTGTCTCATGAAACATGTTATTCCAGCAGCTTTTGTAGGCATTTTCTGGGGTACCTGCAGTCCCTCAATGACAACTGCAATACTGGGGAGGCTTGAAGCATCCCAATGACTTCTCTTGGTGCCTCTTGAAGTCAGTGAGGTTTGTGTTTGATTTTGTAAAGTGCAGGATCCAAGCCAAAGTGTTTGTTTTCCAGGTAAAAGAACAGAAAGGATCAGCACTGCTCTCTCACCACCTTTCATTTTCTTCCTCTGTGCAGGAGTGGACATACACATACAACCACCACGTGCGCCAGCAGCAGCTCTGTCTGTCTGTGTACACGCTCTTCCCTGGTTCCCAGGTGCTGCTGTCACCTTGTAAAGAAGGTGACAACAAGCAGGTGAGCCCTTTTCACTGATCCCCCATTTCCTTTGAAGTTCCCTTTCTTTCATCACAGTATTACTGCACATTAAATGGCCTGTGCTCTGACTTCATCTGGGAAGCACAGTCAATTTGGGAGTACAGACTCTGGCCTGTTCAGCCCTTTGCCTCTTAAATGAGTGTGTTGATAAGGATGTCTATTAGTGAGGGTGGTGATCTGGGCACTTCAATGCAGAAGTCAAACCCAAACTGGCAATTTAGTTCACATGGGCTGCCAGTCAGGCAGCAGATGCTAACATTTCCCTGCAGTTAATCACTGAGCTGGCATTTGAACCAGTGACCTGGGGAAAAAGCTGTTAGTAATATATTATCTCCCTGAAGCCAGGCAGAGGCTGAGTTAAATGAATGTGCTGCTGATGGGAGAAATGCTCTGCTTGGTGTGTGCTGTGGTGTTGTGAGGATCCCCAGGACGAGGTGGGAGGTGAGAATCTGACTCCCAAGTTCTCAGAAGGCTGATTTATTATTTTAAGATATTATATTATATTATATTATATTATATTATATTATATACTAAAACTATACTAAAGAAAGAGAAAGGAGACATCAGAAGGCTAGACAAGAATGAATACTAAAAACCCGTGGCTGACCAGAGAGCCCAACACAGCTGGCTCTGATTGGTCATTAATGAAAAACAATTCACATGCTGGGTAAACAATTCCAAATCACATTCCAGAGGAGCACAACATGGAGAAGCTGAGGCTTCTCATCTTCCCAGGAGAAGAAATCCTGGCGAAGGGATTTTTCAGAAAATATCACAGTGACAGTGTGGGTTTGGGGACCTCGTACTTGCCAGCATCAGGCCACAGGGGCTTGATGGCAGCTGTGTCCTTGATGTTTTGAAGTTCAGCAGTGCAGGGAAGGCAGGGTGGGCAGGCAGCCCCTTCACCTGTTTCTCCTGTCGTTGTCTCCCCGCAGCGCTGGGGCAAGGTGGGCTCGCACATCGAGCACATAGCCACACGCTTCTGCTTGGACACTGAGACCATTGGGGACACCCACGAGAGCATCAGGGAGCTGGTGATCAACCCCTGTGAGAGCACAGCCATGAGCCAGCGCTGGGACATGCTCATGTCGTGACCTGCTGCAGGACGGGCACCGGGACGTGGCCACGCGCGGCTTAGGAGGCACCGGATGGGGGGCTCGGATCCAAACCCTGCAGGAGAAGCATCCAAATAAAAATGGGACACTGCACTCCAGGTGGAACAGCGGATGGTGACCGCCGGGCGTGCAGCTGGTGTTGGCCTGGTGATGGTCAAGGAGGAGGGATGGCAGAAAAACAAGCCTGAAGTGTTTTAGAGGGGTATTGGGGTACACAGAACCTCAGCGTGCACAGCGTTGATTAATCTCCCTGGAAACGCAGGTAGAAGAGCTATTAATGCCTAAAGGAGACTTGGGCTGAGGAAAACAAGCATCTCAGTAGTTCTTGGGGCTTGAGGTGGGTGCACAAGGTGAGATGCGCCAAGGGATGCTCAGAAACATCGCCAGGGATCAAGTGGAAGACACTGAATTATTTTTGCACTTTGCTGTGAATGTTTCTGTCTTCTGCACACAGCATGGGTGGAGCTGTGTTGCACCTCTGAATTGGTGCCTGATGCACGTCCCTGTTGTGTATCCAGAGGCAGAGCAGTCCTTGGTGGCTGTGGCCAGGATCAGAGCAGGGAGTGAAGGGGGAATCCTGCTCTGTGCTAACTGCACACGGTGCTTGTTGAATCTCCAAAGCCCAAGCAAACAGAGGATTCACTGTGTGAGATTAAAGGATATACGTTTCTGCCAAGCTGGGAGGAAAGGCAGTAACGTGATCATTTCTCCTCTCTGAAGGCCGTGGGTCACTGAAAAATCCCCTAAAATTTTGCTGCGTGTCTCTCACTGCTCTGCTTCAGATCTGGACTAATTGAAATTTTCACTTTTCTTCCATAAAAGTAATATTTTTGCTAATTGAAGGTAATTGTGTCATATTTCTGTTTCCCAATTTCCAAACTACAGATAAAGGGACTCCCATAAAATGCTGCTACTGATGGAACGGTGAAGGTTTAATTTTTAATTAAAATTAGAGACTGCTCTAATTTTAGAGAAAGGAAGAGGGATATTACCTGGGTTTGCTTCCCAGTTACCTTGTAGCCCACAATGTAAAGTACTGAAGAAAAGGTTTGGGATTCCCCATTCACACTGGTGAGCAGGGTAGCCTGGGCCACGATGTCCCTCTGTCTGCAAGTCACTTAGCGTAGCCAGACCAGGCAGAATTTATTTCCTTTATTTATATTATTATTTCCCAGCTTTTGGAGATGTCTTTTACCAGAGATCATGCCAGGTGCTGCCTCTGTGGAACTGAGGGGAGAAAAGGACAAACAAGCTCAGGAGGAGTGTTAGGAATAAAAGTCCTTTCCAGCCTGTCTTTCAGGGCAGCTGTCACTACAGCCACAGGTAACAGGTGCACACAGCTCTTGTCTAGTAACAGCTCTCAAAGAGAACTTCCACAGGACTGTCAATGCGACTTAAAAAAAAAAACACATCGTTTCTGTCTAAAAATGCTAGGATTTAGTGAAAATCCTATCCTTTGTTTCCTGTGCTGCAAACTGCAGGTGAAATACCATAAGCTTTAAGCCTTCAAGTGCTCTCAGCATCCCTTCTTGAATAAATTGCTGGCTTTCAGGATTTTACTGCCTCAGTTTCTCCTCCCTCAGTGCTGGGAGAAAGCCGTGTGTATAAATCTTCCCGGCTTTATAAGCAAAACTAGTATAGCTCTTTATGTGCAAAAGGTCACTGGTGCAAAATGCTTTTCATGTGCTGCAGTGATTACTGACCTCATCAAGCTCCCTTGGTGCCAGCCTCAAGGGCCTCTGTTCCGAGAGGGCTGGAGCAGGCTGTCATTTCGTGGTGGGAGGGGGCATTGTTTCTGTGCCACCACTCTGCCAGGAAACAAAGGGGAGCGCTTCAGAAGGAATGGACCCGTTTCACAAAGGAGGGCAGCGACCTTGGGCTCCTCTTTAATTGAACAGGGACATATCACATGTTCTCCTCACAACGGTGATGACAGGCAAGGGGTGGTAATTCCCTGTCTAGTGTTTACAAGGGAAGGCAGCTCCCAGGAGCTCAAAGCTTAACACGTTCACACCTGCACTGTGCCCACAGCCTGGCAATCCGACTCTGAAAATTCAAATTGCTGAACAGCCTGGCATGGGTTTGGAAGCTCAGCACCTGGCAGGTACACTCTGAGCAGGACCTCAGACCTATCTAGCTTTCCTGTTTTCCACCAAAGCTGAAAATCTCCGTTCTCCTGACAGCCAAAGCTCTCTAAATGCTCTTTGCCTTAGCAGAAACAGCTACCTCACTACACATGTGTGTGTGCTTGGGCACCTGGACCCATGGGACCTGCAGGGATGTGCTCTAGGAAGGAGTTGTTTGACCAGCTTTGCAGCTCTCTTGCCTTTTGGGAAACACAAATGCTAGAGCAAACCCGTCCTGTTCCAAAACATGCTCTCAGTGATCACTCTGTCTAGGGACAGTGGAGAGGGGAGCATCAGGCATGGTGTCCCTTACCAGAGAGCAGCAGCCAAGTTCACTAAGTCTCCTGGAGGCCCAAAAGCCACCACGTTCCTCCCAGACCTGGGGAGCAGCAGCACTTGTCAGACTGGTGATGGTGTCTCACACAGCCATCAGCTGTAACCCTTAGGCTACAGCTTATTTCATGGTCCAGGAAATGAGATTATCCCTATGGATCAGCAGTGTTTTCAGAGAAGCCTGAGAGTATCAGCCTGACTCCTGGGGAGCTTTATATAAAGCTGGCCATGGTCTGGCAGTCTGCAGAGTTAACCCCAGTGTGGCATTTAGCAAATCTGCCTGACACCCCTGCAGAGAGACCCTGCATGGCGTCAGGGAAGAGGTTAACTCGCTGCTGAAATCCAACTCGTACCTTCAGGTTTCTTCCCTTTATTAAAATACGCTGAAAACAGATGAACTTTTCTTGCTTTGTGTTTTTTCAATGCCTAGACAAATGATTGCCATGCTGTGAGCAGGCACAATGTGACTGATTGGGATCTAGATGGGCTCCCACGCCAGTGCTGCTTAAGCCCCAGCATCATTTGGTGGCAATGCTTTTTTTTGGTAACGTTTTACGCTGACTTGAAAGAACATAAGATAAAGCAGAAAATATGATTCTAATCCTGGCTGTTGAGCTTTGTGACAGCCTTTATGATCTCCAGGTAAGTCACTTCTTGTGCCTTGGGAAATTTAGATTCAGAGCAGGAAATTCAAGGCTGGGACTGGCTTTTAAAGAGCCAACTAATGCTACCCCAAAACGCACCAGAAGAAGTCAAAAAAAGCACATCCTCTCCCTCTCAAACGAGATCCATGTTCCCATGAGAACAAATCTGTCTGGTTTTAGTTGGGCTGGAGAAGTCTTGCAGTCCTTACATTGCTGCTTGTGTGATTTCCGGGTGTCTCATGCTCATCATCTCTCTGCACCAGTGCAGTACCATAAGGTAACACCACAAATCATCTGTGCACAGAGCCTCAGGTTACAACATGTTGAGATGGTTATTTAGTGGTAAGGAGGTGGAAACTGAATTCAAGGATCTTTGTTTATCCAGCAGTGCAGCACCAAAATGGGGCTGGTGGATGAAGACTGGAGAATTGGTGGTGGTTCAAGACAAGCATAGCCCTGAGTGCTGATCCCTTCTGCTGCTTCTAGGAGTGGCTTGGGATGGCTTACTTCATTTCCCTGCCACAGTTCCCCTAAATTTTAGTGAAGACCAGGTGTTTTGAAGAGAGAAAAAGCCAAGGATTGTTTTTTGTTGCATGTAACACCAGCAGTGTTGGACCTGTACAGATAAAAGGGTTCAGATGGAGTTCATTTTCTTTAAAACAACTTGTAAGGTCCTGTGGTTTAGACTGGTGACCAAAACAGTGTTGGTAACACTCAGCAATGTTTTAGTTGTTGCTGTGCCTGCACAGTATCAAGATCTTCTCCATCTCTCACTCTGCTGCCCCTGTGAGCAGGCTGGGGCTGGGGAAAGCACTGGGAGGGGGGACAGCTGGGACAGCTCCCCCAAAATCACCAAAGAAACGTTTCACACCATAGGATGTGACACTCAGAGGTAAAACTGGATGGAGTTCTGCCACAGGAGGTCCCTGCCTGGCTGGGCATCAGGCTGCAAGGGGTGACTGACTGCCTTTGCATCACTTGGTTGTTTTTGGGGTTGTTTCGTTTAATTTCATTTTCCTTCATGACTGACTTCATCTTGACTCATAACTGTTTCTCACTTCTGCCCTTCAGAGTCTCTCTCCCATCCTGTGGGGCAGGGAAGGAGGGAGCAGGGGCAGAGCTGCCAGGCAGGGCCAGCCCAGCCCCATGCCCCAGGCAAAGCAGGGTCTGTGCTGTGACAGGCTGCTGTTCCTCATGACTGTGGTCACAGCTCTGCAGTGCGATCTGCACTGCTCACATTGCAGATCTTAAAAGCTTCAGTGAAAAGCTGGGGGTTGGTATTGTTTGTAGAAGGGATAAAGGAAGCAAAGTCAAGGAGGTTTCACACAAGCAACAGGAGAAACTTCTGCTGCTCAGTAATGTTCTGGCTAAATTAATTTTGAATGATCAGTCCAGCACCAGTTTTAAAGTGCAGCTGCTTTACGTGGCTGCAGAGTTAGAGGAAGCCTGTGGTATGGGTGTCCAGCTTATGTTGAGGCTTACATGTTGAAATCCAGTGGCATTTTTCCAGATTTATGGATGTTTTCCCAATGTCCACTGTCCTGTTTCTCACTGGAAGTGCCTTCAGAACCCTGTAAGAATAAAAATCTGTTGCAAGCTACTGCCTCTCCAACTGAGTCTAATTAAGTTTTGAATGGAGCTGCATGTTAGCACAACGCTGGCAAAGAGCAACACATAAATTTACAGGTAAGAATGCTTCTTTTGTGGAGCTGGGGGCTGTTTTGTTTTCCCTAATGCTGCTTGGGCACTAAAGAAACCCAGACTGGTTCTGTGTGATGTACAAAAGAATCCAAGTCTGGGTTTTGCATAAGCACACATGTAATAATTATGTATCCGTCACAATGAGTGATGTCTCTCATTTTCCTGTGACTTACATGAAAAAGTGTCCAGACAAGGTACTGCTACTGCAGAGGGTTAAATTGTCAGTTGTAAAACCACCCAGCCGTCCAACCAACCCAAGAGAAAATAAAGGAGAAGGAGCACTGAAAGTTTGCATGTAACCTGATAGGTGCAATAAAAGAATGATATTGCGAA